AGGGAAGCCCCTGGATTTTGACCTGTTGCTTGGCATTGACGCCATTAAGGCACTCGGTGGAGTTCGCATCACGCAGCATGGAAGCGTGGAGTTTGAAAAACCACGGTCAGTCTGTGCAGCGATTCGTATCAGCGAAGCCAATTTCAGTGCAAAATTCAATGAACGGCAGGGAGTTTGGGTCGCAGCCTGGAAGTGGTCGGCAGGTCATGCACCAGGGAAACTTCAGAATCGGATCTCTGAATATCCAGTATCCAGCGAGATGAGAGAGGAGTACGAGCATGAATTACAAACATGGATGGACAATGGTTGGTTGGTGCCGTACAGTAACAAGGAGTTTGGCCCGCCCAAGGGACTGATACCACTGATGGCCGTGCTGCAGACCAACAAGCATAAGGTGCATCCTGTGATGGACTATCGGGAACTGAATACCTATGTTGAAACATTCGCAGGTGCCGCAGATGTTTGCGCAGAAAAAAGGCGAGACTGGAGACAGCAGGGTGCGAACGTGTCCATTCTGGACCTCAGGAAAGCATATCTACAGATCCGTGTTGAAAAATCCCTGTGACCATATCAAACAGTTAGGTTTAAAGGGAAGCGATATTGTTTGACCAGGCTGGGGTTCGGCCTGAATGTGGCGCCCCTGATAATGCGAGCTGTGCTTAATGCTGTGTTAGCACAGAATGAAACTATAAATAGAGCAACGTCAGCATATATTGACGATATATATATCAACGAGGATGTGGCGTCAGTGGAATCTGAGGAAACATCTCGAGCTCTACGGACTGGCGAGCAAGGATCCAGAGAAGTTACAGGACGGAGCCAGAGTGCTGGGGCTAGAAGTATGGAAGGAACAGGGTCGACTGCGATGGCGATGAGGAAGTAGAATGATAAACGGCCCTATGACTATGACACGGAGAGGTATTTTCTCCATGTGTGGCCGGCTACGAGTGGTGACAGGCTTCATCAAACATCGAGCTACTGCCGTAACACAAAACTGGGACGACAAAATTTGTGATGCTCCCCTCGAACGTATGATAACGGACACCCTCGCTCGGGCTCAGCAACTGGATCCTGCACAGGGAGAATGGTGCGTGAATACGAAGGAGCTAGACGTGTGGGTGGACGCGAGTTCGCTGGCTGTAGGAGTAGCACTCGAGGTTAAGGGAGCCATCATCAAGGACGCATGCTGGCTATGGCTGATAAAAAACACCCAGCATATCAATGTGGCTGAACTGGTTGCCGTGCTGAAGGGAATCAACCTCGCGCTAAAATGGCAGGCTACGGTATTACACGTGAATACAGACTCCCTCTGCATGTACCATTGGGTGACTAATGCCATTAAGGGAAAGTCTCGGCTGAACACCAAGGCCGCTAATGAGATGCTCATAAGGCAACGACTCTAAACTCTAACTTCTCTTGTGAAAGAGTATAAACTTTCGGTTGACATAGCGCTAATTAGATCCGACCAGAACTGAGCTGACTTGCTGACTAGAGTTCCCCAGAGGTGGTTCAACAATGTGAAGGAACTTGAACCTGTTCAACCAGTATGTGCTTTTGCCGTAGGAAACCCGAGCCCTGCTCAGTTAACTGAGATTCATCAACACAGCGGGCACCCTTGAGTTAAACGGACGCTATATTTCGCACGTAGGATCAAACTGTCCATGTCGAAAGCAGCAGTGAGATCGGTCGTTCGGAGTTGTGAACAGTGTCAGTCAATAGATCCAGCTTCTGTGCGATGGCAGAAGGGAGAGCTCAGTGTGCGTGAAACTTGGAGCCATCTAGGAATGGACATCACACACTATAACAGTTGCCATTTTTTGACTTTGATCGATTGCGGCCCCATACGGTTTTTGATCTGGCGGCCGCTATTTCGGCAAGACGCTGCACACGTAATCCGGCAATTGGAGTCGGTGTTTTTCGAACGTGGTGCCCCAGTGGAGATCCTGGCTGATAATGACACTGCATTCCGCAGTCAGCAATTCAAACAATTCACAGAAGAATGGGGCGTCTGATTCCGACTGCGCTGCATGTACAAACCATCTGGAAATGGTATTTTAGAGAGGTGTCTTTGGACAATCAAACAGATTGCTGCGCGAAAGAGCTGCTTTATTATGGAGGCCGTGTATTGGTATAACATCACACCCAGGGATGATGTGTCTGCCTCTTCTGCGCCCGCCAATCTGCTGCATTCATATAAAAAGAATTGACGTTGTGCCCTTGCTTAACCAAGCAACTTCGACTTGGTATAAAGGTGGAGACGCAGTTTGGGTAAAAAATCCGCATGGACGCTGCACGTCAAAGTTTGTGAAAGGTTGTGTCATGGGGATAAACAGTCCACAGTCGGTAGTCATCGACGGGATACCACTGCACGTGGGAGATGTACGTCCATGGCTCACTTCATTGTTACCAGCGGATGATGGCGGTGACACAATGTCAGGGAGTAATGAATGGCAAGAACCAATCTCCAGTGCAAGCAGCAGCGACACCCCATCTGAAAGCGAGAAAGAAGTAGACTTGACCCTTATTGATCCCCCGGAATACGCCTACTGCCATTTTTATGCAGCAGACTTATTTGCATAAGAGAGAACAACGCTACCTATTAAAAACCAGGTGAGTGGACGTGGGGGAGCACTGCTCTTCTAGGCTTCGGCGAGACTAGACATATTGCCAACAGAAAGCGACAGCAATTTCTGGACATCTGACATATAGTTAATTAGTATGACCTGTATCATTAAATCATTACTATCTCAAAAAAAAATTTTTATAATCTAAAAATATTTTCAGACTTTAAATAACCTTCAAAAGGTTGATAAGCTATAAAAAAACAAATCAAACTAAATTAATAAAAAATGTTCCTAATATTCATTGAGTATACTTGGTGAATCTATGTTAGTAAATCTTAACATGTAATGCTCAAAACAGTTTATATTTTCATTAATTTTATATTTAATATCACAGTAAAGAAGAATGCAATGGATTACATTGGGTATATTGGTAGAGAAACTTATAATTGAATTTAAAGTATTCATTTGAACTTACACTTTTATTTCTTTTTTTTAATTAGATTGTACTAATCATCATTCATGTTTTCAATTTCTTGTCCTTTTAATTGCATGAAAAAATGAGTGCCTCTAACTGTGCCATTTCAAAGTGACCAGGATTATTTATACAGTAGCAGAAAGGAACATAATGTGAACCAATGAATCACCTACAAAGTCAAGTGGATGGTAAATAATTTTATCCAAGTCTGAAACATTTGGTGTTTTATCACCAACTGCCAAACAAAAAAGTAGGATCTACAGAGAAGTTACGTACTTTCCAGAAATAAGAAAAAAAAAAAAAAAAAAAAGAAAAGAAATGAAGCAAATAAATAAAAAACAAAAATTGTGGTGAAGTGCCACTTAGCCAGAAGTTAGGAAATTCCAGTCATAGGCTATAGGGTGCCAGAGGAAGTAGATTACGAGCTGTGCATTGAGATGAAGAGGGGACTGATAGAGAAGATCTGGTTTGTTAGCTTCTTGTGTGAAAAGTATGTTGCAAGTGTCGCCTACCTACCTAAAAGGCTATGCCAGCCATATCTATAAAAAAAAATGACCAAACATATTGAAAACAGGATTGGAATTTTCATTTCTTGTGGTGGTGATATTTTCACCTTCCATACTTTTGTGAATGTACACTGAGCTGCATTCAGTTTTTGTTCACACAACACCATTTTACTAAACATTTTCATGGTTTGGTTTTATATTGTTTTACAGTATATCAACCTCAGTGGGTTATTTAATGCCGACAAGATTTTTAAGACACGTTCGTATGAATAGATTTTTATTGCTGGTAATATTTTTTTTATCTATATAATTATATATTGGTTCAGTTTCTTTTGTTTTACAGCATATCAACCTCAATGGGTTATTTAATGCTGACAAGATTATTAAGATATGTTTGTATGAATAGAATATGTATTCTTTGTAAGTAATTAGTTTGTAGGTTAGGTTTCATTGATGTCTTTTTGTAAAGAGGATTTTTGTTCAGTCAAATGTGTTGCTGGTATTTTTTTTTTTTCAAAATGAATAACATTTTACTATGAAAATGTATTTGTATACTTTGATAGTGTTAACAATTTGCCCATAGTTGTGACCCTAAAAGATGCTACCACCCTGGGTTACGTTGGACTTGGGAACAACAGCAATTAAGATGTGTCATGGTTTGGCATCAGCTTGTGTTCTTATGCAAAAACGTAAAATAATGCTTATAAAAAAGAAAATTATATGATAATGCTTAGAATTCTAATGTAATATAAAATCTGTTGGAAAAATTCATCCTCATGTTATCTACTCCCAAGCATTTGTAGTAATTCAGTATTCATGATTGTCATATCCTGTGACGATAAACATTCGCACTTACCGGAGTCGAAGCGTCCAAAATGTTTTGCTTGTCGGGCTGCTGTTTTATGATGGATATGTGCATAAACCCAAGCTAGACAGTTTGTCATTTTGTCAACTGCATCCTTTCCTCTCGCAAGTGTGGTCCAAGAAAAGTACATTCTCCGACATTTGTTTATTTTATGCTGCTTGGCACGATTTGTCTAGTGGTGGTCTGCATGCTGATTGGTCGAGCTGGGGACTCTGATTGAGAACGAGGCTAATGGCGATGATTGGTACGTTGACCATATTTTTGGTCAATAAAAACGGTCTGGGACATTGGCTAGAAGTGCAGCTGGGACCGTGGTGACATGCACTGTTATAGAGTTTCGTATTAAGTTACGGCTCTGTTTATTTTTGTCTGGAAGCTGGATGCTAGCTTCAAACCTACCACTAGAGTGAGCAGTGTAATTACTGGTGTCTACTGAAACGTGGGAGGAACACACTGAATGTCAACACATCCTTACACAGATATTGATGCACCTTTTGTAAATTAGTATTTCATTGACAATTCTTTGTTTTTCTGTTTGTTTATTTTTGTTTTTATTCTCCTTGCAATTTTCCACTGCTATTTTTTAACAGGTCTATTCTGTTGTGGGTAATGTTCTGCATGTCAATTTGGTCAAACAGACAGACAGTGGTTCCCAGGTTAACTTCAATCGAGTACTCTTGAACCTTGGATTTGCTGACGTTGCTGAAGAAACTATCTTATCTAAAGTAAGTTTTTAGTAACTTAAAAAAAAAAACACTGTGACCTGCTTTAAAACATTTTTTATGATTTTTATTGGTTAAATTTATTTAATCCATGTTTATCATGTTATTTAAATATTAAAACTAGTAAAGCACAATGGAATTTAATGCCATTGGTTGATTGGGGGAAACAAACATCATCATTAATTAATTGAAATACATAATCTTTTTTTTAACTTGGTTGAATTCCCGTTTTATGGACAGAGAAAAGTTATTATATCAGTTCTCTTATTGATACAAAATTTCTGTATAAATGATATTTTCAGCAAATCATCTATTTTCTAAAGTTCTTTTGTCAAAGTCCATCTGAATTTCTTACTCTAGACCTAGATACATTGTGCTGAACATGAAAGAAACATTTGAATAATTTTTCTAAAAATAATAATAAAAATGAATTCTGCAAACTTTTTTTTACACTTTTTAAATAATAAAGTACAATTTTAAAATAGTCTAGATTATTTATTCTGACTTACAGATCATGACATCTATCATAGAGATAAAATTAAAATTTCTATTGCATTATTCCAAAATTTTAAAACATCAGCAGATAGCTATTAATATCAACAACTGAGCACAAATAGTTATTAATTAAAAAAAATTAGTAATTAATGTATAATATTACACTGGCCTGCGAAGTTTCCATGGTTGAATAGCTGACTTTAAGGCAGTTTTTTATGCTGTAACCAAAAATCATACTCATTTTTTCTAATCAGATCAAATTTTTAAGCTTCAAGCTCTTGAAGTGTATAGAACAGTATTATAACTCTATTTACTTTCTTGTTGAATTAAACAAATAATGCTAAATTTAGGGCTGTTATATTTGCAGAAATCTCCCATTGTGCAATAGTAAACTGAAAACTATCCAAAAGAAGCTATTCATGGATGAAAGGTCTTTTCAGGGACTTCCTCCTGTGCTTGGCAGCCACCAATTCCTGTTTCAAGTACCAGCAGTAGTCAGTGATAAAGTTTACATCCCACTGGTCTTGGTACTGCTCTTCCATAATGTGAATGTCTTGGTGAAAGCGCTTACCTTGCTCTTCACTCAAATCTCCACAGTTGTTTGGAAAATAGTTCAAATGCGACTGTAGTAAATGCAGTTTGACTAACATTCATAAACTGAGTTGGCGGAAACTTTTAGGTAGCTTTTTAATTTCCTTCTCATATTCCACACTCTGGTAGTTTCCCAGGAAGTTTGTAACTACTGATTTCAGTGACTGCCAGGTGGACAATTCATCTTTGCTCAGTGCTTTGTCAAACATTGGGTCCTTCATGAATTCTCAAGGGCACTGGCTGGTAGTCCTCTTCTGGCTTGTATGTGTCATCTCCAGCTACAACAGTCATGTCACTATATTCAGAATTGGAGCTATATTCCATGTTACCATCTGACTCAGGAACAGGAAGGTCCGAGCCATGAGGGATTGGCCTTATCGAGATAATTAGTAGTGACTATATTAGTTAAAAGTCCTCCAATCCCTCAAGTTTGACAGCAAATGTGGGGAGTGAATGGCTTATCCTGATCCCGTAGTTTGACTCCAAAGTAATCGTGATATGCCTTCTTCACAAAGTCAGTGATTTTTGCTTGACAGTTAGGAAAAATCACATTACTGCAGATATAACAGAACCTGTCAGGATTATTCTTTCACTTGTGATCCATTCTTACAGGAATACAAATGTCAAGCTGAAAAGACGAAAAAAATAAATCAGCACTCAGTTTGTCGTTGACACTTGACAGTACATTAAAATCATTTTAAGCTGAAGGATAAGCTCCACCTCCTCTAGGTATGTGGGTGTTAGCAAGTAGAGTGGTACACTGTAGAACTACAACAATATATGGTATACTAAACATCAGGCACCCATGATTATCTGTGACAAGTAGAGTCCATAGGCTTTTGAATAAGTGTTATTATTGTGTACAACTTGTTGTGAAGTATTCAAGCACATCTTAAAAACTAGACCTGACCAAACACAATGAAGGGTATTTTTGAATTCAGTATAAAATGGTGATCACACACACACACATATATATATATATATATTCTACTTTTAACTAATATAGTCACTACTAATTATCTCGATGAATTTCTGAAGCTTTCATAAAATTAAATAAGGGAGAAATATGTTAAAAAAAGAAATTCCAAAAATAATTTCATTCATTTGTGAATAAGTCCTGAAAATTTCATTAAGCTCTGAGAATTTTTTTATTTTTGCAAGAATTACCAAATTAAATGTGTCTATCACTGAAAAGAAGAGGTGAAAATTTTCTATACTTAAAGTTAGTACAACCACTGACACAAGAAAAGCAAGTTTTTTAATCAACATTTTGAATGTTCTAAAAAGGAGTAAAAAATTAAAAAAAAAATAATCAAAAAATACTTTGATCCTTCCTCTTAATAATAATATAATGATTTTAAAATAACTGTGATAAAAATAAAAATTTTATAAATGTACATAAAATTATACTATAATTTTATGCACCTTTCTTATGAAATTTTATCTTATTCAGCTGTTATTACACTATTTACATTATTCGGGCTATTGTCCTCATTTTTGTCGCCATATTTATTACAATGTTTCGGCCATTGTACGCCTTGGCCTTCTTCAGGTGGTCGGAATGTCGAACTGAACCCTTTATTTCACTCACTGGGGTAGACTGTTCTAGTTCCATGTGCCATGTCTAATGGATGTCAGTTATCAATTATCTTCTGTTAATTCCCCTCTCCGCTGCCTTAACCAGGTATTGAACTCACACTTTTTGGGTCTGTTCACTGGATCTAACTATTGCCTTTATCCACTGTCCCATGTGTCCTTGAGGACATCTGTGTATTAATTTTTGGGTATTATAAGCCTAATGTCTTCAGCTCCATTTTTTTTTACCAGTGCTCATATTGCAGTTTTTGCTGTTATCATTGCATGTTTTTTTACCAGAGCTCATATTGCAATTTATGTTGTGATTATTGCAATCGAGGGGAATTAACAGGCAATAACTAACATCCATTAGACATGGCACGTGGAACTAGAACAGTCTACCCAGTGAGCGAAAATAAAGGGTTCAATTTGACATATAAACATACACAAGTCCTAACTAAAAATAATAACTGGAACGGGGGAAACTACTTTAAATACACATGGTGTCCAATTTCAACAAAACTTCACTTTTTTTTTTTTTTTTTTTTTGGCATGTAGTGTTTCTTATTGTCTTGCACACTTTTTTCTTTATTTTTACATTCAGAATGCTTTAAAAATTCCATTTAGAAGACAATTGTTTATAAAATTATTCTATTCAATCGGGAGACTCATAACGATTGAAAACAATGTTTTTGTTTGAGTTTGGGTTTGACCAATTCGTAAAAAAAAAAAAACTAATTAAGACATGCGTGTCTGTCAACCTTAAACAATAATCTTTGTCAATTTTATTTTTCAGTCTTTATGATGGTGGATACTTGATCTATCTCTTACTGTTATATCCCTGGGCAACGCCGGTCTCTACTGCTAGTATATATATATATATATATATATCCAGTTGCAACAGTCTTTCATGCTTAAATGGAATCATCAGGCCATAGCTCTGAATCAGACTGTTGCCCCTCTTATATTTACATACACTCTATCCCTGATATTGAGCACTTTAACTCATAAATATAGCATACATTAAAACTATATTTTTATAGTGTGTGTGTGTGTAATATATATATATATATATATATATATATATATATATATATATATATATACACACACACACATTTCAATTTCATTCAAGTTCTGTGTTTGGATTTGCACACATATAATTCAATAATAGACCTAATATTTTTACAAAATTAAAAAAAAACTTTAAAAAATAATCCTATTTATTACAAAATAACTTTTGGAAAGTTCAATAAATCATATAATTATCAAGTTTAAGGTTAAATGTTATCTTTCCTACATAACCTCATAAACTGCATGTCTTGCCTTCTCATCATACATCATCATTCGAATAACACTTTTTATCTTGAATGCCTCTTGGGCCTTGTATTGGTTGAACATTAGTATAAAAAAAAAATATGTGTATACCTATTTGCTGTTGTGGCCTTTTAGTGCAGTAGTTCTTTGAATATTCAGACACCTTGGGACAGCAGCTGAAAAATCTGTTTGGTTAATTTCAAATTTTCTGAATATTATATATTTTAAATACAACTAATTAAAAAAAATCAAGAAGCATAATTTTCATTTATTATAATATAATTTATATAATATAAATTAAAAATAGATTATTCTCTTTTCCACATGAGTAGAAAAATCAATAAACTGTTAAAATGTATGGAATTGTTAGGATTGGATACATACATAGGTTCTCTTGTGAGTCAGTTTCTGTTTTTCTGTCTTTTTATGTGGTTCAGTAAATGTCAGATAGTCAGGTTGCTGGATTAAAAAAAGTTAGTAATCAAGAACCTGGATGTGTGACTAGTGTAATCAGTGAGATGAGTTGAAATCCCACCTCGTCTGTTGTGTTCACTTTTGTACAAAAACACTTGAATTCACCTCTTCTCTCCCAGTTATGGGTTAAATAACTAGGTAGAATGGGCTCTCTATCCTTGGGCAGCAACCAGTCTAAGCGAAAGATTACCCTGAATTCAAAACACTATTGAATGCATTGGGAAATCTATCCATTATCTTTCCCAAAAAGTCATTGTAATTCACAGACAATAAAGAAATCTGAGAAGATCCATGATTGCCTATGTCCAGAAGAGACATGACATTAAAAAAAATGTCATGAAATATATGGGCAAATAGCAAGAGAGTTGTAGCCTTTCAGCCTTGTTAAGCAGTTTATAAGAACATAAAAATAGTAACAATAACAATAAAAAATCGTCTTGGTGGTAATTTCAGCTTGTTGAGATACTGAATACCTTGTATGAATAAATTAGTCTCCAATTTTTAAAAAAAAAAACAAACTGTGCAGGAGCAGGAAGGTGAGTCACTCTGCAGGAGAATGTATGAATAATGCACCAGGTATTTCTACACTCCTCCAATATATATTCTTAATTTGATTGGGACAGTTAAAACTGTCAAAAAAGTTCATTGTCAATAAATAAGGTTGAATGCAAAAGCCTTTTAAAACAGTATCATATGTTCCTCTCTGAATTTCTGGTATGAGGAGTAATTATTATTTACTTGTGGACTATTATTCTCATCTTTGTTCTTATTATCACAATATCTTGGTTATTGTTCCCCCCTGTCCTTTGTCAGATTAAGTAAAGGGGTTCAGTTTGAAATTCCATGAAGGTTAACTAGCTTGACCAGCACCTGATCAAGGCTAGAGGACATGATGGCTAAAACATTGTGACAACAACAACAGTGATGACAAGAGGTTGCATGTAAATAAATTTTCATTTCTATCTATCTTGTTATCTTAACAAAAATGTGACAATGTTTTTAAAATATTAATTAGGTCTTTGTTTATTTAATTTTATTATAACAATATATGACTGTATTTGAAGCATGATCATAATTAAAGTTATTCGTTATATATTTATCTCATTAAGTTTTCATTGCTGCATTGTTTATCATTACTTCCTGGATGAGCTGGGCCCATTTTGGGAAAAATAGGGAATTGCCACTTACTGGAATGATTATAAAAGCACTGATGAATTTCTCATGGTGGAAGCATATCATCTTGGTTTCAATAGGATACTTTGCAGTACAGGCTAAGCTAAACAACATGCCCCCCGCCACACAATAAAAATACATCCCAAAACAAATTCTATTGTATGCTATCATATGTCTAATTTTGAAATAACACTAGTCTATAACATAGATACTAGGAACAGCAGGCACTATTAGTTAATGTTCTTTTCCTAATTTATGCAATTTCTACAAGTGTATTGTATTTTTTTCATTTATTTAATCTAATTTGTAGTTAACTTAAATTGTTAAATATGGGACAATGATGGATCATTAAATCTTTTTGAGTTAGTCATTGTATAAGGTCCTTTAATTCAATTAAAATTGATGACTCAAAAAAGATCAGTGTTGTAGCAAATCATTTTGTCATTAAGAAGCAAGAAGCATATTTGAATTTTTGTTGTTTTATTTTCTCATTTACCAAAAACAAAAAAAATTCTTAAACTTTCCATTTAAAAACAAATAGATAATTTATGTTCACCCAGATGAAAATATTTGTATTCAATCACTTTTATACCATTAATGAAAGAAACCAACCTTTAAAATTGAAGTTTTTTGTTAAATGCTCATTTCTTTTTCTAAATTCTTTTTCTCCCCCAGAAAAACCATGAAGAACGTGAAAGAGCCAAGATGGTGGCCCCGAACTTTGGCCCAGAAGAACTGTCATCTTTGGACTGGAAAAAATTGGGTTTTATGCAAGAGTTGGAAAATGCTCAGAAGTCTGGAATGGTAATACATGGAGCCATTACCCTGACTTTTTCATAACTATTTTATTATACCAATTATTGTATCAGAATTAATTTAAGTATTTAATTATACATAAAGCATTAAATAATACTTATTAGATAACTGATTCTTACTTTAAATTAATGTTCTTGAGAAAGGTATGAATCTATCTCATTGCCTCCCAGTTATGAGTAAAAGATTAGGGTAGATTGGACAGTCAGTTTGAATTCAAACTTTTTACTCAAAACCAGCCTGAAGAAAGGTGGGTTCTAGACCTGAGCTTCTTAACTTTTTTCTCCTTTCATGTCTTTTTGTCCTGCTTGACTATGTTGGGATATTCTTTAAGATGATGTTTTGTATTAAAGTCTTTGAGGTCACATTGGTGAACATTTGGAGATGGCAGTTGTGGTGGGAGGGCTGAGGCAAGGGGGAATACTGAAAGTAAATTGTTGCTCTCTGTCAGGAGATGGGGAGGACAGAAAGATTGCAAACTTTGAATCATAAAGATGGTGAAATGTTGAGAGTGCAAGCTACTTTATTCCTTAATTTAAAGGAAAAAGAAATGCACTAACATTTGAAAAGGCTGAAGGTGTATGCCTGCCAATGGCTTCATGATGTAAAGAAAAACTGGAGCAGACTCATTCTGTTGTTTATAACCCAGATGTGTTGCCTTTGGGCTTGATGGAATAACTCGAATATGCTGCCTACAGATTAGCATACCTGCCTTTGGATGCATATAAAGTCATTAGCTATTTACAATGTTTGGACTGTTGTCCTCATTTTTGTTTTCATATTCACAACATTTAAATAAAATGGAGATAAAAGCGTCGATTGAAGTAATCCAGTGACTTAACCCAAAAGAGTTGTGAGTTCAATACCTGGCCGCAGCAGAGGTGAAGAAAAACTTGGGGAGTTACTAAGGGAAATAACTGAAACTGAGATATCTGAAAGAAGCATAGTAGAAATAAAGGGTTCACTTTGAAATTCCAATCACCTGAAGAAGGCCAGAGTATACAATGGCCAAAACATCATGAATATGACAACAAAGATGATGACAAATGACCAAACAATGTAAATGATTACAGTACCTCATCTCAGTAATATAGACAGTCATTGGCAGAGAACAAGTGCAGAGTGAAAGAAATTTGATTGCAAGAAGAGAGGATTTGCAAGTATTTGGACTTGCAGCTCTGTGATATTGTAACAGTTTGCTTTATGTTTTCCTTGTTTTAAATGACTTAGCATTCATTAGCCATACCACATCTTGGCTAATTCATGTTTTTGTTCTTTATTTGTGTTGAAATTATCCAACATTCACTGCCTTTATAGGTCATTAGTTATCAATGATGTCATGTTTTCACATTTCTTTTTTTTCAAAAGAAACAATTTGTGGATCTTTATGCCTTGATTTGTTTTAGATTAAAATTCATGGTCCATCCAATCCATTAGAAATGGCTTTCTCTGGAATGACAAATACTGGCAGATTCAGGTGAGCAATTACATTTAAATATGACTGTTTGAAATGTTCAAGGAAAAAAAAAAATCTTAAATTCCTACATGGAACTTTAAGCTTCATAAGCTGATATATTAATTAATCTCTATTTCCTTGGACTACAATAAATATTGTTCTTCGTTTACTGATGATAATCATTGAAAAAAAATAAGCATCACTTATCAGAATTAAATGATTAATTGAAATCTTTGGTATTTTAGCATTAAAACCTAACTCTTTAATGTCATGAAAATAAAAAGTTAAATGATTTGTACCTTAAATTTTGCCATCTTTTTTTTTAAAAAATGATGTTAAATATAATAAAATACATGTACGTAATTTAGTGTTGTTATTTCCTGTCATATTTTTAAAAAAAATATTAATCTTAACTTTTTAAAAAAATTTTTTTTATATCAACTGATTTTTGTGTTATGTAAATAAATGAAAATGTATGGATGACTGTAAAACAACTGGAAACATTTGTATGTTTAAAGTTATAATAATCATTTGATCACTGAAGTGAAGCCGTGTTGAGCCCCTTTCAGTACTTAGATAGGCAACTGCTTGTGAAAATTGGGTACTGTAAACAACCTCCTATAATCTGAAATGTATTTTGGCTTCAAATAACCGATAAAGGGGTTTATAAGTCATAAAAATCAATCAATTAATCAGCAAAGGTATAATGAGCACAACTTTAGAATTTAGAATCAACCTGAATCAGTTAAATGAAGATCAATCTACTGCTTAGACAAATGATGCTAAACTAATCAATGTTGAATCCTGAATTTGAATCTGTACTCAAAAATATCTTTGCAGGTTTTTGAGATTTGTGTTTAGCATATTTATATTCAAGGTGCAGTGCTGGTGATGTGTACATTCAAAAAAATTGGTTACTGATCATCAGGTGGTTTACTGCAAGTGATGTACTTTTTGTCAGTGGATACAATTTGAGATCAAGATTGCTCTATACCAGGAGTCGGCAACTCATTCGACCCCGCAGGCTGGATCGTGTTATAATAACGGGTTGCGGGCAGGACGAAGGCCATTAATGAAAAATTAAGGAAAATTACATATGCAGACCCCTGTCAACCTAAATATTTAAAACCATAATGAAAATAAACATTGAGAAATCAGAAAAACAAAAGAAAATCTAAAATAAAAACACCTAACAAAAAATTACTTTTTCTCAAGGAACGTCAAAAATACTTCAAAAAGTGAAAAAAAAATCAACCGAAGTGAAATGGATGACATTATGACGTCTAGGTTTGAAACTGTTATTGAAAATTGTTCCACAAATGAAGCACATATACCCATACATACGAGTACAAATAGTTGCAAACATATACACTTACGTACGTACACATGTGGTATCATCTACACATTCATGAGGCATGTATGTATAGTGCACGTATGTTTAACTGTCTTTAGATTTCTGCTACCTCCCTGGCCTCTTTCACTTTATCATTCCTTTCGCTTCTGTTATCTTTTAATGTAGCCAAGGGTCATAACAAATATGTATCCATTATTTGACATTAAACATAGGCAACGCAACTTGGTAAAATAAATCTCATGAAAGATAACTGGCAGATAGTCTAATATTTTTAGTGCACTGAGATGTGTAGACATTCTATGGAAAATGACATATAACAAATTTTATTTGAAGGTCGATGATATAGTTAAATCGAGAAGTGTTGACAGATCTGCATATTCACATTTAATCACAAGTGTTGAATATACATAAAAATAATTTATATTAACAACAGATGAATGTAGTAGTCAAAAAATATTATTTATTCAATTGAAAACATTGTTGGAATCATTTGTTTATAAATACATAGCATTGGCATTAAGCTATCACCAACAGCCAAAGAATTAATGGCAAACTTGGTGATTTTTATTAATTGAGAGTATCTCAATATTTGGTTTCAAACTTGTTGATTGCTAAGAGCAAGATATCATCAAGATGGTTATCAGTCAATCTTGTTCTCAAATTGTTCTTAGTTTGCTTCAATTTTGAAAAAAATTGTTCACATTGATAGGTACTTCCAAACAAAGATGCCATCTTTTTTGCGTGGATCACTAATTTGAAATACTTTCCACTTGGAAAAATATATTTTGCGTAAAAATCAATTAATGAAATATATTTTGAATTAAATTTTGGTCTTAATAGATCATCACACTGCATTTCTATCAATTCCATTTGAAAACATTCTGATACGGTCTCCACCTCCACATCAAATGGTGTAACAAACAATTTGAAATCGTTTTTATGCAGATGAAAGTCAGCAAAACGTGATACAAATTCGTTTTGCAAATCCTGGATAACATTCACAAATAGTTCCGAATCCTGTAGTTTCCTTGCTTGGAATGATGGGAAATGAGCATAATTTTTATTTCTAGGTTGCTGTTCCCACACCACAAGTTTTTTTTTCAAAGGCAACAATATGATTATACATCTCATTTATGAGCTGAGTTTTACCTTGAAGTAGTAAATTTAAATGATTCAAATGAGTCACTATATCCACAATGAATGCTAAAGTTGCGAGCCAATCAAGATCTTGAAAATGTGAACTATCCATGTTTACTTTTGAGAAATATCGCCACCTCTTTATGTAACGCAAGTACTCGTTTTAACATCAATCCTCGGCTAAGCCAGCGTACATCACAGAAATAGGCAAGGTCACCATATTCTGCCTGAGTATCAAACAAAATTGTTTGAATTGTCAATGATTCAATCCATGAGATAGAATCAGATTCACAGTTTTCACAACAATATCCATAATGTTTTTAAACTTCAAGGACTTGGCACACAATGTTTCTTGATGGATAATGCAATGAATTTTTATGAGTTTATGAGTAATTCCAAGGCTTTCCATATGTTCCTGTAGTAGTGTAACAAAGCTCTTTTTTTCCCTACCATTGCTGGAGCATCATCAGTTGTGATTCCAATAAGCTTCAAGAAATCAAATTTCATTTCTGTCATCATTTTTAACAAAGCTTCAAAAATGTCTGCTCTGGTTATGGTTCCCTTCATGGGAATTAACTGAATAAACTCTTCAAAAATGTGAAAAGTAGAAGTCACTCCTCGCACAAAGACAGCAAGTTGTGCAGTGCCACTTGAGTCTGTGCTCTCATTGACCGCAATGGAAAAATATTGCAATTCACTGCAGGTGTACATTATTTGATTTGCCAGGCTGTATGCAAAAAAATCAGTGAAAGACTCTTGTTTAGGGTAGATGGCAGGGGTAAGCGATGGGGGGGTGGCGCAGTTGGAGGAATCAAATAGAAAGCCGACTGAGACAACATTGTCCCTTTGAAGTTTTTGCCAGTCGGTCGGTCAAATCGGCTCTCGGTTTTTGTTTTATGTTCATTTTTTTTTATTTTTTACACTGAAATGGAGGTGATTGGGTTTTGATTGGGTTTTTGCGGTCATAGTATTCAAATTAGGTTGGGTGGATCAGAGAAAGATAACAGCAGGCCTTTTGTTGAAAGGCCTTTTTGTTTGAAAGCCTCGTCTCTCATGTTAAAAATAGTCATTGGTAATCAGGCTTGTGGGCCATAGGTTGCCAACCCTTGCTCTATACTATACTTTGATTTACTGAACAATGAAGTCTCTGTTATAGCTGAAATGTCCTTCAGTGGAACTCCAGTTGAATGATGATCACACACACACACACACACACAAAAAAAATCAGATAAACTCTTTAAAATGTATTTAAAAACATAGCAAAACTGTTGTATTTGATATTAAACATCTTTTATTTATGGTATCTACACATGGGATTATAAGTTCACTGAAAAAGTTATGTCTTTCAGAAGTTTGAGGCTTTGTTCTGGAATACAGAGAGAGAGAGAGAGAAAATATCTCTCTTAAATTTTACATTTTCTTAATGGGATTGGGTATGTGTGTTTAAGTCTCCCTACATACTCAGCAACAGCATTATACTTAGAAATTGATCACTGGTGACAGAGTTCCAAACTAACAGAATTCATGTTTTTGTACCTTTATACATAGGTTTTATAGATATCAACTACATTAGGTATCAAGTGAAATTATTCATAATTTATGTTCTCTGCAAATCAGCTAGCTGCCTATTTGTTGACAAGCAAGAATTTTATTTGTAAAATTTCTTGGCCAAGTTATTTTGTAATAAAGCAAAGATTTTTTGATGTATAGTATTTAAGTAAATATGACTCTGGTTCTCAGAAAACTTCTATTGACAAGTTTAAAGTTATCCTAGTTCTGTTTGTCATGTTAACCCCCACTTAGTCAAAAGTTTGGGTGAAGTGAATGAGGCTGAGGATTTACTCAGTGGTGAGTAGTTTAGTAAGTTATCCACTGATTCAAACCTCACCATGGTCCTTAGACTATCCAAACCAGTCTTTTGTATTTAATACTTTTAATTAGGTTTTTGGCAGTTAAATCTCCATGTGACGTCGTCCTCCCAGTCGCAGCGCCGACTGTGACGTTCTATCCTGATCTACCACGCCACCAGTTGTGACGTCCTCGTCGCGGCGCCAGCTGTTCGCTCCTCGCTGCTCCGTTCAGGTGTTGCCACTCCAAACGTGACGTCCGCCTGTCGCGTCAGTCATGTTGTCTCGTCCTGTGACGACCAACTGGCTTGGTATCGGTCGCGGCACCCAAATGTGACGTTCTAACCTTTTGCTGATTCGGGTGGGAATCTGGTTAGATTTGATATCAGCCTTGTCGTTCCCAACTCGCTTCCAACGCCTGGTTACCAAGATAACTGCATTGATCTCCAGTCCGCCTACCCACGTTGTGAATTGATCTTAGGCAGACGAGATCAAACAGTGGTTGGGGCCATAATGCAAACTGAGTTCAACGGGGGTGATACTACACAAATATGCATAAAAGAAAAATAAAATGAAAACTCAAAAAGTTCAAAGTATCAAAGAAAATCGATACATAGGACTGCATCTATCTCCCGACCCGTTCTATGGATTGTGACATGTCGTTTCTGCTAGGCAAGTTTTAACGCTTCAAGTTGTTTGCTCTCTAAGAAATTGGTGTTTCGGTGTGTCTTTGGACGAAAGTCGAAAAACTTATTTCGGTGGTCTGGTTTTAAGTCGCTCTTCAAAAGAATTGTTTTTGGGTTGAAGAGGAGTCCTAAATTTGCGTGAATCTTGGTCAGCTATCTTGAGGTGGCTTCAACTCTGGAAACTCAACTCTCTGCTGGAGCCCGAACTGATTTCTGCCTGTTGGGGCCTCGCTTTTATTGACGCTGACCAAAACCTGGGTGGGTCTGTGGGCGCCGGGGGGGGGGGGTTCCTCGATAATTCTAAATACATATCCACCTCTTTTATTTCTGGTTAGGGATTTTCCACTCTTTTCCATTTTTGGGAACCTTTCCTCACTCCCACTTTCTCACCATACCTCTGAGGGGCGTGAACTGCCCTCCCCACTTCTTTGTAGCAGCTTCTCATACTTATACTCTAGATGGGGGCGTCGACAGCCTTCTTCGTGCGTCACGTGATCACCACTTGGCCAATGAGGTCTTGGTTGGGTATCTTTCCTCCTCCTTCGTGTGTCACGTGACCACCACTTGACCAATGATGTCTTAGTCAGGCGTGAACAATCCGTGGCTTTGTTTCAGGGAAAAAAATATCTTGCTTAACTAAAAAAAAATTATCTCTTCTCTTTCCCTTTTCTTCCTTTAAATCGCAGTTATCATTTCTCTAGCCGCAAACAAACAATATGACAACTCTTGTTCTACACGTGGTGTTTGTCAGGTATTTTATCGCTAATTTATCAAGATGTGTGGTCTTCTTAACATGGCTTCAAAAAAGAAATATCCCCAAAGTTTTCAGTCAGTCTGTCGCCTCCAAGGAAGAAAGAAAAACACTTCTGGGTCCCCATTCATTTTCCTTCGGTACATATTCCTGATAACATAATTTTATTATCGCAGGCCAAAGTTGTTTCATTGAAAAAAATTCGGTCAGCGGCACTGCTTGTGTGGCATTTAATTTTTCATATCTGTCCAAAGTCCTTTTTAGTGGCCTGTTTCTCGTCACTTATCGAAATAGCATTTTCACTTGAATTTTTCCCTGGCCAGTGGTCCAGCCGTTCGTTTACCCACCTTGATAACACAGCCGCTATCAAAACACATCTGATTCCTTCTTTCTTTCCCTTTTTTTTTTACTCAGAAATTCCCTGTCATTGTAATGACACCCTTTTTCATTTGTTACTTATCAATATTTTCATTGTCTTTTAGCCGTGTGTGTGGCTGCTTATCACCTACGATTCGTCTCACCTTTCTTTCTGCCTTCTTTTCTTTCTCTTCCTTTCTCTGCCTTGTAAATGGTGCCACATCCATTCAGATTTAATCAATGATTTTTTTTTTTTTTCATTTGGTGTAATCGGTTTTGCTGGTTCATTTCCTTCACTGGAATTTGTGTTGTCTGGTGGATTTTATTCCTTGCCAGAAATGGATGTTCAACACAGTCCTTTATCCACTTCTCATAAGCCATAGCTTTTGTTGATCTGGGAAATACTTTGGTCATTCTATCACTTCAATGTCAAGCGATCTTGCTGAAAAAGGTGTAAATTTGCCAACAGAGGAAATGACATTGTTGAAATTTACTTAAAGATGAAATTTCAAAATTTCTCTGTGGCTGTTTCATCCCAATCGCATTTTTTCTATTTTGGGGGCACTGAGAGAAATGAAATGACTTCTATAGCAAATTTTCTCTACATGATGGGCATGGGTAAGGTTGCTGGTTTTCTCTGTGAGCATTCAACTTCGTCATGTACTCCTTGGGTAAACTGATTTCTCAGTGTGCATATTTCATTTATATGGACTTTGGTCTAGTATGGACATAATTAATTAGATCCTCAAACAAAGAACTTCCTGTTAAATGATCCAGATGGCCATACCATAAAGTGCTTGTCAATTTTGGCCTGAATTTTTAAGTTCCAAAATTTTCATTGAAATCAACATGAATATGCCTGTTAGGTTGATAAACAAACAAACCCTAAAGTTACAGAAAGTCCTGTGGACTTTTAGCAAGCTTGTTTGTCATGTGATGCCAACTTCCTTAGGGTTATGGAGTTGGGTCAGGGATATCAGTTATGCTGAATTTTACTAAATATTATTTAGTTTAATTAAGCTTAAACCCTTCTGAGGCTCTCCTTATAAATATTTTATGGGTTTAATTTAATATTTTTAAACTAGACTTTTTCCATTAATCTCAAATCCAATTAACCACTCTCCTATATTTTCTTCTAATATCTCTACTCCTTTGCTCAGAATTAAGTCTCTCAATGCCTCAAGTGACTAACCACTTATCATGCACTAGTATGACTCAATCAGGGCCACTACCTTGTTGCATTATGTACTTACTTGAAAAATATAAGAATGATTAATAAACTTTTGATTTTTTTTTTTTTTTTTTTTAAATAATATTTTTTCTTTCACAGGAGTGCTAAAATTGATCCTGACAGTGTGAATTGTATCAGCATTGATGAAAACCCTCAAGATCCAAGTTCAAGAATGATGGTTGCAGCATTTGTACACATGAGCTCCAATGGGCTCAACCTAGTGGCCAGGGACACTACTCTCCTGCCTCATATACCTGGGCTTCCTGCACTCATTACTATGCTTTTTACCCCTTACTGTGAATTCCGGTGAGAAATTTAGTTTTTGCATTATTATTTTTAGGAAAACGGGCATGTAATCTTAATTAGATTTGTTTCTTAGGCTGTAATTAAGTAAATTCAGACAATCCTAAAATCTTGAAAAAGAATCTACATCATACTATTTCATACTAATTGTCCGGATGAACTTTCTTTTATGGAACCTAGACATTATGAATTTAAATGTACTACTTGATCGCCATCATTTAATAGTTGAAATGGCTAGATGTAACCATAAGTTCTATGGCAACAGTTTCTTCTCTAACACTTCTCAGATCCAAATTTCCACTTCTTACTCCAGCAAACCACTTACAAACAGTACTCTCAGCTATGGCATCATCTCCATAAATTTCATATATCCTTTTTGTAGTTTGTTCCTTTATGGAAATAAAAGATTGTCAAATGATGAAAATGCATCACATTTCCCTCCATTTTTATTTTTTAACATAAAAACATTTAAATTTCACAATGTAAACATAAATCCTGTGTAAAGAAGAGTTGTAATGTAACCTTTCAGAATACGTATGTGATAAGTTTCAGTCATGTGTGAAACAAAATGTGTTCAAATGCCATAAAAAGTTACAAACTTTAGTTCCAACCAATATATAGTCTTATTCTGAAATTACCTCCATTATATTTTTTAAGTTTAACAGTATTTTATTTTTTCAACTTTGTTTTTTTATTTATTCTTTTTATGCAATACATCAACCAAAACATTATTGTTTTAACTGATGCATTCTTCATGTGAAGATGTCTTTAGCCTACTTGATGGCATATAAAACCCTTCCTTTCCATGCTTTCAGAAATTTATTTGATCTATTTCTTTTATTTTTGTAATATTTCTCTTATTCAGTTTTGTCATTTCTTTCAGAGTTAATCTCAACAAAACCCGTTATACTGGTATGATTTGTGGTTTGGGTCATGACGAAGATACTGGTTGTCCGATTTATCCTGAGCATGACATAGAGATTGAATTTGATGCAAACATTGGATATCAAGATATTATGAAGGTTTCTAATTTAAGATGTCACATTCTCTGTCTTTTAACTTTGTATAAAGGGAATAGTTTTGGTTGAATATTTAGATCAGGGTTTCCCAACCTGGGCGATTTCAGCTGTTGGGTGGGTGATGAGCAACTGAACAGAAAATGGTGGGTGATATAGGATTTTGAGTATTACAAAGGTATTTCAAAATATGCTACCTGACAAAAATATTCAAAGGAGATACGTGAAGAACCTGTATAAAAAAAACAAAAACAAGAGGCTAATTAGGAATAACCGAATCACATTCCTAGATGAGATATAAATATCTCTGCAAACAACGAATATTTTGATATTTTCTATAGTTTTGAAAAGGGTTATTAACATTCAAATAGTTCTTCAGTCAAAATAACATTTTTTTTGGGCGGGGGGGATATAAATCAGATATGGGAAGACTAAGAATTGCAAAAAAAATTTTTGCAGAATTTTTTTATTAGTTATGAGTTGTGTATATTCTTTTTAATTTTATAATTATAAACTTGTAGTGCTAACTCTATAAAACTAGCCTTGAACATAAAATTATATGGTTTTCAATGGTCAAGTTTGCTTCTATTTGTTCTTTAATACAGTAGTAGTAGCAGAAGCCGTCACATAAGTCAGCATTTTTTGTTATCTCTATTTGGTATTTTTTACTACATCAGAAAGTTAGTTTATGAACCAGTAACAAACTTTTATCAAACAATTTTAGTATGCTTTTGAATATTTACTATATAGGTGGGACGTAGAAACTTTTTCCAAGTGGACAATGATGCTAAAACGGTTGGAAACCCCTGATTTAGATGATGCCTTTAGACACTGTCTCACTATGATTTCAATTTTTAACTTTTAAATTGATCAATGAAGGTACGAATTCTTAATCTGCCAATTTTAAGTGGATTAAATATTCTGAATTAAACGAGATTTTTTTTCTATCCAGTAGATAAAACTTTTATATACTTATGAGTTTTTTGGGGGTTTTTTTTGTAATGGAGGAAATTATGATATTTTGTGTGTATTTTCTGATTTAATTTCTATACTGGTGTGTGATCAACATTGCTTGGAACAAAATCAGCATATTTTAATTTTCCAGATTTGAAGGACATTTAGGACTTGCATTTGTTTCTATGGACACCTTGTGAACATAGGGCCACAATCTCACCTTGCAAAGTGATTTTGCTGTAGTTTTAGTAAGAAATAAGGTTTTGCTCTATATGCAACTGGTGTAGATTCAGAGTTGTTCTTCTAGAATTAATTGCCAATGAAGACAAGAGAACCCAGTCTTCTTTACTATTTTACCCATTATTTAGAAGAGTATTTATGCAAAATGAACATTGCCTCAACAAGAATTTGAAGATGGCTTACCAAATCTGTTTTTTTGTGCTGCTAACCATCATTCAACCTTCCAGACTTGACCCTCTGCTCTTACAAAATGAGAGTTGGTTTTACTTTCACTTATTGGTTTGCATTTTATTGAGTTCTAAAACTGTTCCAATAAACTTACTGAGTCTGTAAGAAAGTTTCCAAACATTTTTTGTTATCCTGTACCAATGTGATTGGATGGGAAGGTGGTGTAATGGATAGCGGCTTGGTATGATAAATCGGTGAGCTGAGTTTGAATTCCAATCATGTTTGATACATTCACTTATACTCTTTGGAAAGGAATGAATCTCTTCCCCCAGATATGGGTTAAATAGAACTGGAAAAAGCATTATCTCCAAAAAGAAATGTTTATGCAATATTCACAAAGAAAAAAAAATTCTTACAATCCACAAATGTTTCTTCTTTAAATAACTCACAAAGGGTTGATGAATCATAAAAAAGTCAAATCAAATCTACCAATGTGATAGTAAATCATAGATTTCTTTTTAATAGATTGATATTATTGAATTAGAGGTTTATTATTTTGACATTGTCATTCCAGGAATTATAATTGTTTGGGATGTTCTGTAGGAAACAAAAGATGGTAATCAGTTAATATCAAGTTGGACTGGTTCAGCAAAAATTCCCAGACCAATTTTTTGGTCATCCTGGGTAAGACATTAAACTACATCCGCGTCCTGGGTAAGACGATAAACTACGTCCAGCAGCAAGGCCTCTGATCAGGAGGTTTTGAGGAGCGTGAAACCACCTCATAATTGCTGGTGTTCCCAGGTTGATATGCCGTTAAACAAAATAAACCAAACAAATTTTTTGTTATCATCTATGAGGTCTGAGATTGCCATGCAAATTTTATGCATTTGTGAGCAGTTTTTGGTGACTCCGTCAGTCATACTTTTCAGCTATATATGATACATGTGAGCAATGATAGATTTTTTTTTTTTGGCTCACACAGCTTCCAGTATAAAACAATGCTTTATATTATTAGTTTTTGAGTTATTTCTTTCATCTTATATAGTTGTTTTTTCTTGCAACTATTCAGACTATTACTCTATGGCCATTAATAATGTATTAGGTTGAATCATTGGTAATTTCTGTTTTGTGGAACCAATTGTTATATTTTAAATAATAAAGTTGTTAAGCAAATGAATGACAAAGGGAAAAAATTCTCTGCAACATGTTTTATCCTTTAGGACTTCATTAGACACCTTGTTTAGAAATCTACATGATCTCATAATTGCTATATTAACCACTTAAGTGTAATTACTGCATACATATAACTTAATATGTTTATAAATGAGAGGAAAAAGTGAAAAAATAAATTGAGTGTTTTTTTCTTTTTCTTTTGATCATTTCACCTCAAGCAAGTTAGTAAAATGACTAAAGCATAAGAAGTTACTGAGAATGAACGAAGCTAAGAAAACATTGAGGAGAGAGATGACATTAAAAGAACAGGATTCAAGGAAACATAAAATGATGATTAAAATTTCATTTGAATTTCTGAAGAGTGTAGTTGACAGGAAAGCATGAAACCAGAAGAGAGGTCCACATGTGAGAAGTACTAGAGAAGAAACTATTAGCATAGAACTTACAGCTATATTTAGCAATTTCAACAGTAACATGATGAGACATGGTTGGCAATCTAGTAGTGCCTTTAAATTTATGGAGTTGAGGTACCAAAATGGAATACACATCAGAACAGTTAACATGAAAGTATTTATAGAAAAGACACAGGGCAACTATGTTATACCAGGGGGGAAAGTGATTGAAGTCAAAATGCCAGCTCAGCTCCAATGAGATTGCAGATTCTTCTAACATACTGTTTGAGTGAGATGCTCCCAAATTGTTTTTCAGAGCATGATAGGAGAAAATGTATAGAAGATTGATATTATCTATTACATTTTTGTAATCTATAGAAAATATCAACTCTTGTCAAAAAGTCTCAAAGCTGTAGGTGCCAAAGGAGCTATGGAGGCAAGAATTTGGATGAAAGGCTCCATTCAGCAATATGCAGAAAATGAAGTAAATCTTCAAAGATTTTTAATTTCAAAACTTTTAGAAATACTGACTTAATATTTGGAATTTTTCCATCACTTTCATATGAAGAGGAGACAAAGCAATAGCTAGGGTTCTACAGAAATATGCTGAGGATACCATGAACAGAGCATGTGTACAGCAAGGACATTTTTAAAAAAAAAACGGAAACTAAAATGACATTTAGAATCAGAAAGCGTTAGATAAAATTTGTTGGAAATATAAAGAGTTAACAGGGCTTTGAAAATTTGACACTCACAGGGCATTGAAAGCAAGTGGGAGAGATGAGAACAGTGACTTACAAGCTTGTGATTAACAAGCTTGCATAAATAGATGGCAAAACAGAATGAGGCAGATGGTAAAGGGACAAACACTGCTTAGAGGTACAAAAGGACAGGAAGCTGTGGTAAGCTTTAAGAGACATGGTGCATGAAAGAAAAAGGTATAGACGTGTGAATTTTTTCCAAGAGAATCTGAGAGGGAAACTTTAAGAGCACTGGGTAGTTTGATATGAAGTGGCCCACACATATATGTAAATAGTGTGGTCATATAAATCAACACTGCATGGTGACTAGCAGTTTCATGCTTTAAGAGATCATCAGACCAGAAACAATGTACTATATTTTCTTGTGTATAATATGACTCCATAATATAGCCATCCCTATGTAATATACTTTAAATGTTGTACCATATTATCTATTAAAATCTCAATGTTGTACACATATTTCAATAAAATATTTTAATTTTTCACGATATTAAGGAATGAATAAAGAGTTTAGCTATTGCATGTTTCTTCTAATTTCTGTTTCAAAACATGCTTTAAAATTTGGGGCGAAAGGTGCTTTGTTGTAACATTAATATTATTCCAGCTCCATGCTTTCCAGCCAACTTTAATTCATAAAAATTTAAATGCAATGTCAATCACTATCGACTGTCCTCCTGATTACTCTTTTCTCTTTCCACTCATAATTAATGTTTCTGTTCCTAATTCTTTCACACTCAGTTATCCCTTGTGTCTTAATATCTTTCTACTTTGCTTGGGATGAAACCAATTAAAAAAATAAAAAGGCAAACAAAAAAACATGACAGATCTTGTGAATTACCTTTATTCATGTTTTTAATAAATTTTGGTGAATTTCCTGACTTTGAGACTAAAGACTGATTCTGGTTATGCGAATTTCCAAAGAACAAATATTACCGACATGTCAAATTCCTTTTGTAAACAATTGTTATTAATTCCTGTCTATTTTGTTTTTTTATTATCTATTGTGCTGAGTGTATTTGCAATCTTGCTGTTTCCAATAAGCAGTGTTTTAAGCTGAGTAAAAATTTCTGAAAACGTGTGCTTGTGTATAATGCAACCACACTTTTTCACTTTTAATTCTTATATTATGCATGAGAAAATACAGTATTAAATATATCTTATAAATATGTGTGTATTGTGTCAACAAGAAATATGAATTTTGAGATACTTTGGCCTGTCAATTTTGTTTTTATATTCAACTTATTTCTATTTACTGAGATTTTTCTCTAATAAAAATGTTTAAAACCCTAACCCTGATGATGAATAACCTGTGCACATAAAATCTGACATATTAAGTTAATACTGCCTCATTGTCACTTGTACACTCAGATCCTAATGGGTTGTATATGTTAATTTCTCTCAATATTTCCAGCTGTTTGTAAGGTTTATCTTTTTGTCCTTTAGCTAAAATAGGTTTTCTGTTTAAAAACACATTGGATTTAATGAATAATATCTTTTAGTGAATGTCAAAGAAGATTTTACAAAATAACATTCACACATACACACACACATACATACATATATATATATATATATATATATATAATCGTATATTCTTTGTCTTTTTTTTTTTTTTTTTTTAGGTCAATGCTGTCAGATTGGCTATAAATATTGTGATTGGGTCACAGACATCAGCCAGTAGCTGGGGACCTAATTCTATTGTTAGTCTCCAGAACACAGCACGTCTGAAACTATTAGAGTAAGTTTGTGTGTTTTCTATAGCAATTTGTTGCTTATTGGTGTTGGGTTCAAGAATGAAGGATAATTTCACTCATAGTGATACTAATTTTTGACTTAAACTATAGAATTAATTGAATTGACAAATTCTGTTCATAAAATGTAGAAATACCATAAAACTTTGCATCTTTTTAAATTGATTTTTTTAATTTGCTCATATTTAGTGACATTATTTGAGTAGGAACAATCAGCCATGGCTATATTTTAGTGCTGACTGTACCACTACTCCACCATTACATTTTAATCATTTTCTGTACTAACAAACTAAATATTTCTGGGCACATGGGAAAATATATTTGGTGATTAGTACTGAATTTTCCATTTTTTAAAGTTTCAAGTTTGTATGTTATGCATGGAAAATTAGGAATTAAGGAAAATATTACTATGATTTCTATACAGAGAATAAGGAGATGGCTCATCTTACAAATACACCCATCTGCATTTTGTGTTTGTTCAACACCTACAGAGCCGACCTGTAATTTAAACTCTTTTACTTTCTGCAGTGCAATCCTTCAAGCTTCCCCCTCCAATTTCACATATTTATTGTCTTCAGGAACAGCATAATATTGACATGCATTGTATTTTTTAACTGTTGAAATTGCAGTATCACAAAATAAATAAGACATTTTACCACTGTTAAACACTAAAAAAATATTACTATTCCCATTCATCAATGAAGGTCCCATTTTATTCTTTCAAGGTTCGATTTTTGGACATAATGGGTTAATAGAGAAATGATTTTATTCTGAAAAGATAAATATTAGCAAACACAAAGAACTAGGCTTATATATGCATTGTTGTTATTGAAAGTCATGTTAATTATCTGCATCAAAGATCAGCATGCATAATCAAGATTATTAAAAAGATACTATGAGCAGTTAAAATATGCAGGCATTGTCAAGTTGTATTATAGTAAAGGAAAGTATAGGAAATTTTATGTTGAAAAGAGAAATTTTGATGGCTTGCTTAGGGAAATATAGTTGTGGGAAGCTGGCAATGCTGCTCAAAAGCAGGGTTGTGAAGCTGACATCTAAATCTTCAGCTCAACTCTGACTCTGGCTCCAACATTTTGAAATTTCTGATTCTAGCTCCAGGTTGTCTCAAAGTAATGATTGATATACCTTACTGAAATTGAATCTTGCCCATTGCTATTCATAGCAAATAATAGATGGCTATTGATCTAAATACTAATTAATATACCTCTGCCTTTGTTAATCTCTTATTATTATAATTAATCAATAATTGATTATTGATACCAATATAAAATTGGCAACACATTTTAGTCCAACACAATTATCTTTTTGTTAACTATAATTTCACTGTTTCAGTGAAAATTCTAAAGAACAAATGTACAAAAAATATCAAGTTTGTTGCTAATTGAAGTGGTGTGAGATTAGTATTTGAAAGGTGATAGAGGAAAAGAGTCATAGTTGAAAATATTTACTTATTCAGGTTGAGAAGTAGTAAGTAGGCTGGTAGCAAGATGGTGTATAATTTTACTAAGGAGTTTTTTTGTTGGTTGAAGGGAACGGAATTTGATTTTTTTTTTATATTTGAGCAGTCCTTTGTTCAGTTATTCTCGTGCAGTAGAAGTTTTTCTTTGTAAGTTGAGTCGTAGAAATAAATTCCTCAATGTTGTGAAAGGTTCCATGCTTTGAGTGTTTATTGGCTCCCAAGTTCATTCATATATATGGTCCATTGTTAAAGATATTAGAAAATAGTTGGCTCAGCCTATTGCCCCAGGAAATAACTGTCTCCTGCCATGCTTTATCTTTATAAGAGTTAGAGTAGATTAAAAATTGAGTATTGTTTCCATGGTCTTCTAGAGAATGACTTAATCTCTACTCTGCAGCCTCTTTCCCCACAGTTGCAGCATTACAAGCCTATCACTACTCTATTGCTATATCCATGGCAAATGTTCAACTGGCATCAATTCTTTAGTCACATCAGTTCAGATCTTTACTACTGGGACACTCCATGCTACATCCATGGAGTTGAATCATCTTCATTTTCTCCATATACCGAATGTAAGGTGAAAGTTTAACTTGGCTTTTTCTTGTAAACTTTTTTAGCCTACAAATTGATTATACTTTTCTGCTTGCAACATTGACAGTGATGACAAGCTGTGGAAAACCAAGGGGAGTGCTGCGCTGTTGCGGTGGTAATTTTATCAGAGAGATGTCTTCAGTTGCATCTGCAAATGTACTACCTCTTCCTGCTAAAGCTGGATGGATAAAAGCATGATCCATTATATATAGCAAGCTGTTTTTTCTTGTACATTTTGTGTGGCTTCAACTTTCACCTCTCTAACTTGAAAGTCTGCAAGAGTTTCAAGACTGGCACATCTCACCAGTGCATAATAGCATAACTCCTCATTATTCCTTAAAAAAGTACACTGAAATTTTTTTTTCTAGTTCTGTAACAGCTTCTTCCTGTCATCTTAAATCAGCAGTGTATATTAGCAAACCGCCTGACTCTTTTTGAAACACAAATCATTGGGTGGCCTTGAACTACTCTTGATATCGGAATGGGTGGAATGAACTGGCTTTCCCAAATACTATGTCATATCTTTGTTTTCATTTGTTCTGCATGTAAACAAAAGGAATAAAAGTGTCATGATATTGTAGAGTCAACCAAACATCTATAGCTATGGAGCCCCTAACACAATATCCATGGGATCCCAGAAAGCCTTTTGCTACTCCATTACTATTTTCATGGCAAAGGTTTGGGAAAAGTACATTCCTTATTTCCACCAGTCCAGAGCTTTACAGCTGGGACCTGTCAGAGTTAACTCATCCTCATTCCCTTTGTATTCCATTGGTAAGGATGCAGTTCTAGAACTGTTTCATAGTGGAAAATACTCCCAAGATAGTGCTTTCCTAATAACTATAATCTTAACCTCTTCAAGTCTAAGGTAAACCATTATCTATCTTACATATGCTCATAATATGCACCCCTTACTCTCTCCTTGTATATCCTTACAAAACCTCGTTTAGTAACCCTCTATCTTGAGTGGCTCTTGGGCACTATTGCTCATCCAATACAAAATTGGATGAACAATAGTACTTAAAAAAGGAATGTATAATAACATATGCTGGACTGTTGTAGTGAGGAATGTATATTTTATTTGTGTACACCTGGTCAATGCCATGATGTGTAGGTAAGCACATCAGTGACCACAGACACCTAAGGCATGAATCCAGGTAGAGTTGACTGCAGGTGTAGATCTTTGTGGTAGTAGCAAATATTTAAACAAGACTTTCAATGAGTCGTAGATAAATGTTCTGTATCAATGGTGGCTGAGTGCATGTCAGTCATAAGATGTGGCAAAAGTCTTTACAATAAGTACCAGTGCTATTATAAAGAAAAAGTTCCTGTATTTGTTGGCCAGCCTTTTGTTGAAATGAAGTGGGATTAATATTCCAGAAGCAGAACACTAAACACTGCCGGTTGCAATGTTGGTGGTGTTTTGTTGCTTCTTGGGTGAAATTGCAGCAATGCAAGTGAGTACAAGTATATTGCCAACAGAAACAGGATGAATTCTCTCTTCTTCATAAAGGATTGTGCCCATGGAATCTGTTCATCCAGAGATCTGGAAAAAGGTACCTGTGGAGTACCACAACTTCATGATCCTAGAAAATCCAGGTATAGATTTTGCTGCTTCTGATTTGGTCCACACTCACTGTCTGCAACAAGTCTTCAAGATGTAGTCTTTTGTTGATGACATCAGTGTAGGTAAGAGAAGTTAGACTATTAGATCCATACCTTCAGAAAAAGATTGATTCTAAGGATCAATTTGGTTAGAGTGAAGAACTTGGTTTGAAATTTGTACTGATGATGCTTTCATTATCTCAAATGGGTAAGAATGGTAATATTAGACATTTTTTCTTATAAGGAAACATTCAGTATTCATTGACTGAGTAGCCAGTACCTCTTTTGGTTGAAATTTATAAATTCTGCAAACAATTTTTTAGGAAAATAAGTTTCTCAAGTCGAGTAATTGTTATTGCTCTTTCTAGTATTGATGGGGATTTCCTTTCTAACTTTTTGTGCAAAGTAGTGTGGAATGCCAACATCTTGATTATGTTATTATTTTTTCAAGTTACATGTGCTATTCATTTTAGTTGTTACTGTTGTAGAAAGTAATCAAATGATGTGGTTTCTGTTCTTTGTGATTCCGTAGCACTAGTCCATAAGGTTTGAAGAAGGATAGTTCTCACTAAGACCTACAGGCTGTATTCACGATGTTATTTTTAAGCATTGATCTGAGAAAGTGGTTGTATACAGCTGACAGTTTGACTGATAAATATGTACAGTAACATTGTGTTTTATATAATAGATTGTTTTTTGAACTCATGTCTTTTAATTCCTACTATCATCAGAGCTGACAAAAGTAAATTAATCTCCAGGTAAGAAATTAGTAAGTCATCAAGTAAGTAATAATAGAAAATATTAAAGTTATATCTTTATTCTATTTACATTATTTACAGTGTTTAGACTGTTGTCCTCATCTTTATTGCCATATTCACAACATTTTGGTGGTTGTACACTCCAACTTTATTCAGGAAGTGTCTATATTTCTAAGATGAGAACAACAGTCTGAACTATTTACATTATTTACATTGTTTGGACTGTTGTCCTCATTTTTATTGTCATATCCACAGCTGTTGTACACTGTTTTTATGTTTTGTTTTTGTAAGATTTAATGAATTAGAATTTTATTGGAATCTTATTGAAAAAGAAAAAAGTTCACTTTTCTAATAGAAGGGGTGAAATTATTTCCTAAAATTTTAATTTGGGCATATATTTTTTTTCTCCTTTAGCTTGATGAAGACAAGGAGAGAAAGAGTTGAGCCTTATCCTGCCTGGCAACCATATGAATGGAATTTGGTGAATATATTTTTGCTTGTTCTTTTTTAATCTCTGATTACCAAAATCAAAAAGAAATGTAGGATAGGCTTCTTAGGTCTTGTGAAAATGCAATTTTGTGGAAATTAGTATTTTGAATATTCTTTGGATCACTCTTTATACCATACTAAAGGGCAAAGATTGTCATAACTTTTGACTTAAAATACTTCAAATACTCATTTGGTTTTGGATGTCTTTCACAAAATCTGTTATTGTAGGTATTTATTTTTTTACAGTGAGATTTACCTTGCATAAGGCTAAAGAGCCACTCAAGGTAAAGGGTTACAGAGTAAGAGGCATCACCTCAAGCAAGGTGATAATGCCACCAAAGATGTAAGGAGTCACTGGAAGTGAAACAGAAGGAAAAAAAACTTTAGAGGGAACGGGAACACATTCCTGAACAGGAAACAAAGAATAAACCTCTACTTCTGTTCAAAAGACCTGGGAGGGGTGTTAACCGGATGATGGGCAAACATACTACTCTTATTGAAGAAAAAAAAATGTAAATAAATAGTAAATAAAATTTCCGAGTTTTATTCAGAGATGTTAAAGTATAGAGTTGAAGTAGACTTTAGAAGGAACTAGAAACCCAATCCTAAGCAGGAAACAAGGGATAAACCTCTACTTTTTTTTTCAAAAGAATGTAGAGGAGAGTGAACTAGATGTTAGGCAAACTTACCTACTCCTGTTGAGAAAAAATGTAAATAAATAAATAAGAGATTGGAATTCTATCAAACACAACGAACAAGTGTTAAATCCAAGGCAATCCTTATATCAGGCCTGTCAACCATGCAACTGGGGTCCATGAATGGTGGCTGATATGTGGAGACCTAAGTTACTACTAAATAACAATTAGTGTGAACATTTTTAGTAAGGAACTTGTAAGTAATGTCTAGTAATTAGTTAATTAGCAACTATATATAATATTAGGAAGCATCTTACAATTATTGACTTATTTCCATAAATGCGAATGTACAAAGAAAGATCAAAATTCTATAAAATAAATAAATGCACAAAAATCACTTTAATCCCCATAAATTAGACATTTTTAGATGATATTGAGAAAATAATGAGTTAATTTTGTTTATGCCAATTGATTACAGAAAATATAAAATTGTATAATACAACCAGGAAGTAATTTCAACATTTTACAAAATCATGTATCAACAAAGTCTGAAAATACTTTACAAAAAGAAACAATAATTTTGATAATCTTTACAAAATTTATTGTGATATTTGTTACATTTACAATTTGTTTCACTGAAGATGAAGAAAATACTTATTTTGCTATGATAAATTATAGATATTATCAGTATACATAGTTTTAAAAATTAAAATCAGTTTACGTTAACAAGAACACAAAAATAATTAACAGGATAATTTGGAGACTTAACTAATTAAATATATGTAAAAAGGGGAGAAATTGAAAATAAAAATATATCCAATATCCCTGTGGTTTCCAGTGTAATTTTAAAATTACTACAATCTTCAAAAATGTTCATATTCTTTATGATAAAAACTAGTATTATTAAATATTTCCTCTTCTGTGGGACAATCTTTTTTTTGTAACATAGCCTGCTACATACAAAAGTGACATTTTAATATCTTTAGGGATCCTAGTTTCAAGGTCTGGTAAGTTACCAAATGTTTGATATCCTATTTCATCCAGCAAATATCCACATCTTGAGCAATTATGGCCTGGATCAAAGCTGTATTCTTCGACATTAACATTTAATTTAGGAAGTAGTTTAGTTTTTTTTACGATATAAAATTTTTTAATAACATTTTAAACTGTTATAAAATATGTACCTCCAGAACTTTGTCTTAATTTTTCAAATAGTCTGTTGTAAATTCACTAAGCATAACAAAATTAAACCCATTACTTAGCAAATATCTACAAACATCAATTAAGCCATTGCATGTATGTTCAGTGATTAAACTAGTATCTCTTGTTAATGATTTAATTCTTTTTCCTTGATTTCCTCCCATTCTTTTTGTCATTTTTCCAGAATTAGAAAGAAATAACAGATGTTCATCATCTAAATCTGATATCTTTTTCAGTGGATCATTTTTCTTAGTGCACCATATATTTCTTTGACACAGACAATTTTCCAGAATTTAAAACCTTTTTCAATGAAATTAACTTTCTGAAGTATCCTCTCCATTTAATAATTGGTGTGTTTTAATGGCAGCTACATTTTGATCACAAAAACTTTTAAACAATGGGAAACATTTTGTCACTGAATAGGTTTTGAGTAAACTGCTGCCTCATTTAGTTTCAACAGCTTAACAAAGTGAATTTTTTTATACTCAAAAAGACCTTTTACAATTTCCCATTTTTCTCTCATGTTTTTGCCTTCAGAATAAAACGGTAATTCAAAAGTAGGTTCAGTAATTCAATTATTCCAATTATTTTTAAAAAGATGGACATAATCAAAAACTAAGTACAAGCCATTTTTAGCTATCAAAAGCATATTAAAAACAATGTCAAATTTTGGAAAAAAAGATTGATGTGTCCTGTTATTGTCAGAGACTTGACCGTTTGATTGCATCAAGAATATATAAATTTTTTTAATATAAAAAAATTGCCTCTAATTTTGAAACTTAAATAAAAATTTTTGTCCGCCGTTTAAACATTTTGCCATGATACTCGATGCTGTTTTTGTTAATCCCTCAAAATTTTCAGCCAACCCAAATAAGTTTCTGCCATGATACCTTTCTGCCTTGGTAAACACACACCACCTGAACGAATATACTTTTTCCTGATTTTCAAAGATTGCACTAAAATATCACCAAGAAAATTAAAGTCATCTAATTTTGAAACTTCTGATGTCAATGCTTGGTAATGTTTTCACAATGGGTAACTTAAAATTATCCTGAAGTCTCTTATATAATGACTGAGATATAACAAAATATTCAAATGCCCTGATAAGAATATCAGAATCATAATATGAAATGAAACTCAATTGTACCCCATTTTTATATAGCCATTTTGATCCCTGGGATAAATTCCCTGGAGCTTGTCAATACTAAAATGTTTGATAAAAAAAATGAATTGTCACGATTTTAAAAAAATTTTAAATTAAAAAAGAATAGTAAAAAAAAGTGGGAGAGGAAAACAGGAACAAATAACAAATAAAGGAAAAGGCATTTAGAGTGAGATAGAAAAAAAGAAAAAGAAACATCCAAGTAGAGGGGGGTGGAAACAGGAAGACAGAACAATATACAAGTCTATACAGAAGTTAAAAATGGTTGTAGATTAACAATGACCTATGCTAACTCTTGTTCAAATGGGAAAAAAATTAAATAAGAAAATACAATCATTAAAGTTAAGAAAAAGAAGGGTTTTAAAGATTGTAGATAAAGAAAAGTTAGAATTTAATATTAAAACTATTATTTAATTTTAATATTAAACAGAAGAATTTAATATTATAATAAAAAATAAGACATTATTAGTATATAAACAAGAAAAACCTGAATATTAAAAATAATAAGATAAAGGAAGAAATTAAAATAAATAGATAAGTAATAGCCCAAAAGAAAATTTTACAAAAAAAGGGAAAATTTTTTAAATAAACTAATAAAAGGCAAAAATTAGGTTAAACTTAAGATTAAATTTAAAGATTATATAATTATAGATTAAAATATAAAGGATTAGAGAGAATCATATGTGTTAAAAAATAATTATAGATTAAATTATACTAGATAAGGCAGATTAAATATACATTAACTTATAAATTAAAATAGATAAAAGCATAAAGAGTCCTTTTATAGAGGGAAAGTTTAATAACAAATAACTAAGGCTACCCCCCCCAAAAAAAAACAAAACAGCTAGCCATTAAACAGGTAAATAAAAGTAAAATTAACTCCTTGATATACTTTTCAGTTAAATGGCATTCTCTTTTTCAACTGGACTCTGGTCCAAATACCATAACAGGTTCAGTCCTGTTAAGAAACAAATGAGAATATTGAATGTTCTCATTTTCTTATTGATTTTGCTCTTTTTATCCTGGCCTCTGATATATGATGATATATTTTTTTTCCAAGACATTTCTTATTTAAAATTTCTGCATATATTATTTTAATTTGATTTTAGTTTGAAATTGTTGCTAAATTATTAACTAACCCTGGCCTAAACCTTACACTGAAGGCACATAAATGGTTACATTTAAATGTCCTGATAAATCTTCAGTTCTGGATTAAAAATGAATATAATCCTAGTCAAAACAAACCAAATATATATTTAGAATAAGATACACTTGTTATTCTTAAAAGTTTAATATAAAGTGATTAATAAATTTTCCTAGTCAAAAAAAAAAAATTGACGGAGGTGGTGGTGGTTATACATAATAATTAAGGCTGCTAAAAGTCCATTTGCAAAAATTCCCACGGGTAATTATATATTCTAAAAAAAAAAACAAAAAAACACACATCTGTTACATTAAAACAAATGTTTGTTAACTTGAAGTAAAGGTTAAGCTGGTGTCATCTGCTTTCAATAAATTTTTATGCTGTTTTTTCTAATTAAAAAAAAACAACAACAAATCTGCTACAATCAATTTCAAATTTTTTTTGTTCCAAAAGTATTATTTTTGTTTTTTAAATAACAAACCAATTAAAATACAGAAAAAAAAAAAGTATATAAACTTTAACATTTTTTAACAGAATGTTACACTAAAGTATAATTCATTACTACTATTGCAATATAAAAAATGGAATATTTTGCTTCATTTTATTTTCTAATTTAATGACAATAAATAATTCAAGTGTATGCAAATCATAAAATATACTAAAATTCTTTTTCATTTTAATCCAATAATTCTCTCACTCTCTCTTTCCCACTCTCTTTTTATGCTTAATATTGCTCTAATGGATAAAAAGTGGAAATTTGCTATTCTAAGTTAAGAGAGCATATTGTTTATGATTGGAAAAATGTTTATAATTTTAAAAACAAATAGGCTCTTTATTAAATAAAATGATTGCCCATGAATTCTTATAATCTTTTCATTTTAAATAAATATCAAAATATCAGTGGACATTGAAGTCAACAGCCAGTTATATCAGTCTGTCACATGTTAAACACATTTCTTTCAGCATGAAGATTATGTTAAAGTATGAAACATTCTTTTCCACTGGGTGTGGTGTTGATCTCACTGAACACTTATGTTATATATATGTGTAGTATTGATGCCAATGTCCACTTATATGTGTGTGTATGTATATATATATATATATATATGTGTGTGTGTATATGTATATGTGTGTATGTATATATATATATATGTGTGTGTATATGTATATGTGTGTATGTATATATATATATATATGTGTGTATATGTATATTTGTGTGTGTGTGTGTATGTATATATATATATATATGTGTGTATATGTATATTTGTGTGTGTATGTATATAAATATATATATATATATATGTGTGTATATGTATATTTGTGTGTGTATGTATATAAATATATATATATATATATATATATATATGTGTGTGTGTATATATATATATATATATATGTGTGTATATGTATATTTGTGTGTGTATGTATATATATATATATATATGTGTATATGTATATTTGTGTATGTATATATATATATATATATATGTGTGTGTATATATATATATATATATGTGTGTATGTATATTTGTGTGTATGTATATATATATATATGTGTGTATATGTATATTTTGTATGTATATATATATATATATATATATATATATATATGTGTGTATATGTATATTTGTGTGTGTATGTATATATATGTGTGTATATATATATGTACATCTTGAGGTGGTGCAATGGTTAGCAAGCTTATCTCGCTGGAACAATTACGACATTACAACTGAGTAGTGAGTTTGATCCTCACTAGGTGCCCCTACTTTTGGCTTTGTGCTATATTTAAGCTACATTTGGAAGCATTTGTAAATTCACTATATATATATATATATATATATATATATGGTATTGTTATCAGGCTCTTTTCAAAAGTGCCACATATTGGAATTGCCTCTCCAGGTTGATAGTACCACAGTGACCTTTCTGATAAACTGACTACAATGAGATTTGAACCTGGGTCTCACTTGGCCATGTGCCTATAAGAGAATAAAGTGTTTTTTACAAGAGGATCAAATAGGTAGATTCATTCCAAGGGTATTTGCATGAAAGTGAATATCACAAACCCAAGTGGAACTTGGTTCTCCGATTTCCAATTCTGAGCTGTTATCCATTACACCACCTGTACCCCCAAGCTTACAGCGCATGTTAGTTCCAAGTGTTCACCCATCTAGGTACTGACCAGGCTGAATGTTGCTTAACTTTGATGATTGCCTAAGAATTGGAGTTTCAACATGATATGGCTGTATAATGGGTGAAAACTGCTGAACAAAAACAGTCGTTGAAATAATAAAAATATATTTTGAAACCGGTACCCTATTCACCACTGAGAATGCATTTACTAATGTCGCCAGCTGTGCAAAGTTTAACTGCTATTTTTCCCTAGTTATATTCAAAGTTAAATAATATAGATAAAATTTAGTCTGTTAAAATGTCAACTTATGAGACATAATTTATTTTTCTTTCTGATAATATGTTATGCATTAATACAATTGTTAATGGAAACTATGAATAGCCGCTTGGGACAAGAAGTCTGCAAGCTGAGTGTGAATACCTGTTGAGTTTATTACATTCATTTTCACATAAGTAAACTTGAGAAAAGTATGAATCCATTTCTTATTCCCCCAGCTATGGGTTAAATAGTAAGACAGACTGGACTCTTCAGTCTTGGCTGGCAACCAGTCTATGAGAAGGACAACTCAAATTAAAAAAAATGATTCGGCACGGGGCTAGCATCTTTATCCCATGAAAAACTACATGATATAGAAACTGCAGCAACAGTGTTCATTGTATTGAAGTTGTGGCCACATGCTCTACAGTAGGGGTATATGCGATTTGAGAGAATGAAAACTATACTGAGAATATCTGGTAACAATACTATAATACATAAAATTACAAAAGTCCCTTTGGCACATGGCTAACTGTGTCAAAACTTGAATAAAGATCTTTATATTAGTTTTTTAGATTAAGACACAATTGTCGTGAATTCTTTTGATTATATTTTTAATTCTAGAACTTCCTTATTCAGTTGCAGCATTTAGTGGACCTGATTTCTGGTTCTTAATGATATCACCTCATTTACTGATGGCTCAAATGATCACAGTCCCTTTTAGCTGTCTGGCCAATTCCATATGTGGAAAGAAATTCATAATGTTATTCACATACACTAGAATGAATTTGAAATATTTATTTATCTATTTGTGACAAAATGGGCCCTGAACAGATAGGATCATGACACCCACAAAGTAAAGTCAGGTTTAAATGATTTTTATCTTGGCTTGGTTGTATAGCAACAGAAAAATCAATGTAATCAATTGCTGTCCACAATGGAGGTATGGTTCTACAGAAGGATGCTAAGGATACCGACTGAATGTGTGAGCAATGATGAAGTTTTGGAGAGGATGCAAACAAGGAAGAAGCTTATACTTAACATCAAGAAGAGGCAGCTAAAATTTCTGGGACATCTAATGAGAAGGAGGGCTTGGAGAATCTGATACTCATGGGTGAATAAATGGAGAGAGAGACAAGGGAAAGCACCATGTGACATACCTAGCAGGCGTAAACAAGTCATTGACAGAACAGGGTCTGGGAGAAGTAGCAAAGGGACAAAACTTATTGGGAGCTACAAAGAATAGATGGAAGCAGAGAGCCATGATTGTCTATGGCTTGAAGAGATGCAGCACATAAAAGAAGATATACATACACACATACACGCACATTACTGACAAATTACATTCTGATGTAAAAGCCACTCCTTCTATTTAATCATTTTTTAGTCTTCTCTCTATATCTGAAGAGTGAGAGTTGAAAACTGGTCAGGTTTGTTTTTCTTCCCATCTTTATTGTCTACATCAAACAAATTGCACTATAATTTTCTTACTGAACATTTATTTAGTTGGGTTAGCAAGTCAACATTGCGAATAATCAATGTTACATGTATTAAGAAATCTATAACTATAAAACAGATGATGTCTGTGTGTATGTATGCTATTTATGCATGTCCACATTTATTGACCGTTTTCAATGAATTTTTACACATGTTGCAAATTTACTACGGTAGGTCAAGACCAACTTTTCAATCCATAGGCTTCTGGGTTTTGGCAGAAAAATCAATAAAACTGAAGGTGGGTACAACTTTTTGCAAAGGCCAAGTCAAAGTTACATGCGAACAGAATTTTTACCTGATGAGCTGATGTTCTTTGCACTTAATGCAAAACATAGCTCATGTTACAAGGTTTATGTAGAATGCTTGATTGTTTTCCTGCAGCATTGGCTTCACACAAAAAAACATGAAAAAATCGGGTTTTTTGTATTACTTAAAATAAAAACTTGAATAACTTTCACATTTTTTATCCCATTTTCTTCAAACATGTCGCAAAAAGTTTGTCATCATGCAAGAAATAAGATAGTTTGGTTTTAGTCCTGCTTGCTTCCCTGCGTATAACGAAAAACCATGAAAAACTATTCAAAAAGCCTGTTTTTTGGCCATGACTCTGGTTTTTCATCCAATACTTTCCAAATTTGCAATGTAAATATGATTCCATTCTAACTTGGCATTCGAATATCCTTTGATGCAAAGATTGTTTGAGAAGGATTATTGAAGTGTTAAAAGGGGAAAATTTACAAAGAAACTTTTATCAATGACAGCTTTACAGTAAAGGTTTGAAGGAGATGAAGTGTTCATGCATTTGCACTTGCAGTTGAATCAAGCTCTTACACTTCATCCCTGTTTTTGTTTAATTATTATATTTGTGAACAATGCCATACTATTTGAAAATTATTATGGCCATAGGAAATTTACTGAATATCTAAAACATTGAAACAATTTAACCCCGAGCAATGACCACACAAAAAGGCTTTATTGATGGAATTCCTTTAAGAACAACAATCAAGCACTTGTGAAGGACATACCATAAAAAGATGAGGTGAGGAGTAGCTTAGTATACCAATGGATGATGCAGGCAGACATTTCTAGACATGGGAGTGCAGGTATACAGGGAAGTGCAGTTATACAATTGCAGCCATGTACACCTGGGCAATGCTGGATACTTTGGCTAGTATCCAATATAATAAAAATGTTTAAATTAAGCATGAAAAATCATTTATATCACTTTAGTGGAGTTACTTGTGTTGATATTTGATTTCTCCTAAATGTGTGTAGTGGTGTTGTGGAAAAGCACATTCTATGTAACTTAAAACTATTGAGTTTTTATCTTATTACAGCTGTCTCCGTCAGACTACCTGAAACCTGACTATGTTGACAAGACCTGGGATTTGGTGCATAACCTTCATCATTGTGTTGCCTTGGTGCCTGAAGATGAAGACGATGATAGTTCTGTTGCTTCAGCAAGTAGCAGTCACAATGAAAATTTAATAAAGCATGCTGAAGAACTTCGCAGAATCTCTCTCCTGTAAGTCAACCTCAATTTTAGTACTTTATGTTTGTATTTGTTGTTAAGCATGTCTTAGATGAACTGTCCATGAACTGAGTGCTTCTCTAATGGAACTAATTTTGAAATTTATAAGTTGCAGGTAATCAATTTACATTATCTGTAAAACAGTATTGTGTGTGTGTGTGTGTGTGTAAGTGCATTGTGTGTGTGCAAAAGATTCCAGAAAAAACAAACTTGGTGTAGGATTTTAATACCGAACCATGAAAATTTATATTTTGTAAGAATGTAGGTCAGTGGTAGAATAACACTAAAGGAAATTGAAATTAAAGTTTCTGGATTATTATTTGTCCTGTTTTGATTAGCTAATTCTCATAACCTTCTAAATGGGGGGGGAATTCAAAGTCTATTATTGAAGACATGTTTTATTAAAAAGAATAGACATTTTGTGTCTATTGAATTTATTGATCTTTTTTTTTTAATATGTGAACAACTTTTCACAAATTGTAAATTTGTGTGAGTAAAAAGAAAAGAAAATCAAACGTACAAGGTAACCAAAAGTCTCCTTGCCATTTTGATTTATTAGTAAAAAAAAAGGTATACAGCAAATTTGACATATTGATAGGCCTCAAAGTAATCCCCCATCAGCATCCAGAACCTTTTGCCAACAGCTCTGTAATGCCCTGATGGTAAAAATTAGGTGTCTTGGGCACAAAGAAGTCTGTGAGTGTCTGCCACAAGTCTGTCCCATTTTTGAAAGATTTCTCATGAAGGTGGTTGTCTAGGAAATGAAAGAGGTGGTAATTTGTTGGCACAAGGTCCAGGGAGTAAGGTGGATGGCACAGTGCCTTCCAGCCAAGTTACTTACTGTATGGTATCCCTGGCCACCAATACTGTGATTAACAAATGCTGTTTCCTCCTACTTCAGTGCCTGTTGCACACATTTCAACTGCTGTGAATATAGGTTCACAGTGATAGTTTAACCTGTTGATAGCAGCTCACAGTGCATCACTTGTCGACTAGTCCAGTAGATAAAAATTATGATCTTTTCTGGGTGTAGAGGTGGTCTTATGGTGTGAGGCGCAAGATCCCATGTTGACAACCAATGTCTGGCACACATAGGAGTGTTATATAGCACCCACTTTTCTATATTGGTGAGCACTTGATCAAATATGGGTATGTTGTGGTGCTTGCTGGCTTCTGACAATGTGTTGGGTACTCACTTGCTCACTTTGTATGCCTTCTCTATGTGGTGCAGGTGAAGTCTTAACTATTTAATCAGAAACCTGGAAGTATTGGGCAAGCTTACCACAGGTTTGGCTGTTGTCCTCCTCTTTGTCATCAAGGACCTCATGGCTGGCCACTGTGGGCTTCATTACAAAGGGACAGATCACCTGACCTGAACTTCTGGAAGCAATGCTTGGCGATGCATTCACTCACAGCATTATCCACAAAGGGTTGACATATTTGGTAGCTTCATGGGGTTGCAGACAGACCACTATGACAACCCCATGTTATCTTGCTGCTACTTGAGCTATGACTTATATGTATGCACGCAATGCACCTGCATTGGTCAAAAGCAATGTTTCCACCGCTTTCCCGGTGCATGATGCAGTTCTTCTCACATGGCATAAAAAATGGCAGGGACTTTTTTGGTTACCTTGTATTTTGAGTAGTCCATTGTTTCAAGTGTTATTTTGTGTTTGAAAGCTAAATCTAATGCAGCAACATGTAACAGTAACATGTACTATGCATAATGATGTGCAATTTTTAAAATCTTTTTTAGACATTCAAGAAGACAGGCTCTTAGACCATACTTTTATTAGTAAATGATTGCTTTTGTTGAATGTAAATGACTTTAATAATCTTTGGTCTCTTTTACAATTAGATTTACTGAGTATTTTACTATTGTCTAATGGTATTATAGTTCTTGTGGTGTTTGTTAAGGTGTTGCCTAATTGAACTTTCAGGTAAATATCAGATCAATGCAGAAGTTTGTACCCAATTTTTATTGTTAATATAAAATTGCTGCTATTTGACACTGGCATTTGTTTTGCTGCCAATTTCTGGTGTGTTTTAGATTTGAATCTTGTATTGTTCACTTGCGGGTCAGACTTTGTTGAATTTTAACATTTGTCCACAAATGAATGCCTTAAAGATGGAGGATGAAAAGTTGCAATTTCACCATATTATACTATATGAATTTCAGAGAGATGTAAGCATCAGAACTGCAACAAAAATCATTCCAAAGGTTCATTTAGATGTTGTTCCAGATCCTTCAGACAGTCACAGAGTGGACTGACAGATTTTGTCAGGGTGATTTTAGTCTAAAGGATCAACTGTGCTCCAGGCAATCTGCCAATGTCAAAGATGCTCTGCTTGCTATCATGGAGAATAAACCAATGATTTCAATAGAAGAGATTGCTAAGAGTTTGAAAATCAATATCTCAACTATCTTTCACCATTTGAAGAGACTTTGGTTCAATAAAAATATCCGATTTTGGCAAAATGAAAATGTATCATTTCCCACCATGACAATGCAAGACCGCATTAAATTAATCTGATTTGAAACAAATATTACTTATAGCATAAAATGTTGTATATAAGCATTTCTTAACAACAGGGTCTTGTTTTTTGGACTTATTGATCGATTTATCGACCGCTTAACAGTTGAAAAATTAAGTATGGTGAATGAGAATTACTTAAGTGTGGACAACCCTTAAACAACACGTGACTGTTTAATGAAAATGTCATGTATAAACTAACATACTTAGAAAATATAGCACGTTTAAACACAAAAAATATTGAAATTTAAAAAAAAACATTTGAGGGTATCAGATTGTAATAAGCTTTACAATATATGATTAGTAAATATAGTTTTACTTAATAACAATATTCCTTAATAGCTGCACTATTGAAACTGAATTTTAAAAGATTTAAAAACTTTATAAATTAGTCAATTGAAAATTGTAAAATAAAAGAAAGCAAACAAATTTTCTTCAAACAATATTGATCTTTATATATATAATATTCATAAAAGCAATTAAAACCTTCTCTAATTAAATAATGTCTTAGTTTATTGCACTTTTTAATTTTTCGATTCAGAACTGATTTTTGGTAAGACATGGTCTGATTTTGCAAAAACATTTGATTTAAATTCTTTAAAGAATTTTGCTTTTAACTAATATAGTTATAACTAAAAATTATCATGTTTAATTTTTGAAGTTTTCATAAAATTAACTAAGGGGGTGAAACACATGAAAAAAAATTATCAATATTTTTTAATAACAAAAATTTCAATTTCATTTGTGAATATATATATGTTTATACATTCTTTTTTTATAGATACAAATATTTAAGTAAATGCTCTGTTTATAATAAACAGTATTAACATTTATTGTCCTGAATGTCTGAGAAATTGTCATAGAAAATATGCGTTCTCGGACATTCAGGCCAGTAAATGTTAATACTGTTTATTATAAACAGAGCATTTACTTAAATATTTGTATCTATAAAAAAAGAATGTATAAACATAAAAATGTCTTAAAATAATTGTTGGACTTTGTCCATTTTATAATATATATATATATATATATAAAATTAACTGATTTAAAATATGGTTTTTTGCTACACAGTTCTAACCATATTTCAAAAATGGAAGCTAAAAGCTTCGAATTTAATTTTGTAATTAAATTAAAGACATTAGTTCCATTTCAGATTTTTAATTTAAATCAAATATCTCTCTCAAAGTATTTCTGGCACCTAAAAGAATCCAATAAAACACCTACAGTAAAATGGAAGTTAATAAGAAAAGCTAGAATGGAGTACTACTGCTATATTTAGGCTGAAGCTGCTCAATTGCCACTTTCCTGCCTTGACAGAGTTTAATATCATTTATGTGGTCTTGTTTGAGGAAAGACTTACTTTCAACTTAGCAACCACTTCCCTACAGATGAAACATTGCAAACTTGTTGCTATTTTTGAACCATTTATTAAGTGAACATTAGTATAAAAGAAAAAGAAAGAATAGTTCATTACTTATGCTTGTTTATCAGAAAAGTAACCATTTTATTGAGCTAAAATTGATTTGATGTAAAGTTTTTAGAAAATAATAATATATGTGCTCTTAAACATCTACTTCATCTGTATGATTATTTTATTTTACTTTTTTTTTTTTCTGTTTCAATCCAGGTCCACCTATGACAAAGAGATCCACTGTCAATTATGTAATGAGACGTTCCCCACACCACAGATTCTTAATGTTCATGTCTTTACCAATCGACACATCAAAAATGAAGAGAAACTTATCAACAGACATTAATGTAGATGGAACTAGCAACAGAAGAGAGTTCCCCCTCTGTTTTTTATCATTTCTTTATATTTTTCATTCACTTTTCTTTTTTTTTTCTTTTTTTCTATAAAAAAAGAAAAGAAAAGCTATCTTGACTTTCTACATTTACGCTTCATATTTCTTTATTTCTTCACACAAGCAAAGAAGAGTTGCATTCATTTTCTCCTTCCATCATTCTCTTTTATTTGCATATTAAGTGCCTTTTGTTATAATTTGATAGTTTGCAGCTTTTTTTTTTTTTTTTTTTTATCAAATTCAGAAAACTTCTATTGCTTGGTATTTCTACTCGCAAGAAGAATGATTTCCAAATTTTATGATAATTCTCTGGTTTGATTCATACAACTCCCATTTTACTTTCCTTTATATATTTTTTTTAATCAGATTTCTAATTAGATGGTAAAAAGCAATTTTCCTTTATTGGAAAATTTTTAAAGAATTTTGATCAAAATTTGGATGTGAAAGTGTGTTTATGCATTCAAAAATAAATTTGTTTTAAGAAAAAAAAATTGAAGGCAATAATGTTTACAAGAATTATTACTTAGTCCCAGTGATTAAATGAAAGTTAAGTCATTTATGAGCCCATTAATTGCAGACAACACAAATTTCTTTCTTTCTAAACTGCAAAAGATGGAAATCTTTGCCAGGGTTAATGCTTTAATGGAATTCAGAAGTAAGCAGCTAATATTGTATTTTGATAAGTTTTATAATTGTCAGCATTTTATTTATAGTCAGTTTTGTAAATATTCAGTAAAATTTTTTTTGATGCAATATTCCAGATCTGAAAATGTAGATCCAAAGATATTTGTAAGAAAATCTCTTAAGTGTATATCCCAAAATGTTACACCTAGTGATTCTTTTAAAGCTTTTAGTTTGCTATATAAAATTAATTTTATGCATATGATTAGCAAAAATGATAGGTGTCAAATGTTCTTCTTTGAATTGTGTGCACTATGCTGCAGATGTTGTTATATACAATAATGAATAATAAACATATTGGCTTGTTAGATGTTTTAACCAAAAAAAAAGATATGTTCAACAAGATTTACAGTAAATTATGAATCATGAGGTACATGTATTGAAATGTGTCTGACACATCACAGAAATGTTTGAAGAATTCACAGCCAATCATTTTATTATGCAAACAAATTTAAAAAAAAAAAACCAAACCGGAAATAAGCAGTTATTTTATTAAACAAATTCAAGTGAAATACGACAGACTGAATTCTGGGTATTGTGGGACTAAAAGGAAACTCAAATGTGTTTTCATGATGTTGTTAATCTTAACATGCATCACAGTACTTGAACCAGCCATGAAAATATTTATGCTAGTTTACCATCATTGTCAGAAAAAAAATGGTGTATTTAAATAATTTTCCAATTGCATTCATTGCATTTTTTTGGCATGAGTAATTTATGATTTTTATATTTACCCTTGACTCTATTGTTAAATGGAAGAAAGACTTTTGCTGTCTAAGTCATTAACAGTAAAAAATATCAAAAGAATGCCAACATGGAACCAAAGAAATAATAAAAACAAATCACAATATATTAGCAACAATCTCCCCTATTTAATAACGAGATATTCTATTGTTATGGTAACATGAAGGTATACTTACTTATTGGTGTGGAATAATGTTTTCTGATATTATAACACTGCACTATCATATTATCTAAAAGGAAGTAAGGATACCTGACTGATAAATTTGTCACAGTGTGTTTTTATATTAGTATAGATTGTATCTGTATGTCAAGCGTGTGTGTGTGTGTCAAGTGTGTAAGCACACACAATTTAAGGTTCATTTTCTACATTTTTATTCCTTTGATAATATTACACCAAATATAAATTTTCTTTTCTCCCTATATTTTGAATGTTTAGTTTTCTAATGTCTGACGTTTTGTAGTCAAGAATGCATCTCTTTATTTCTGATTTTAAAGATTATAGTTTGGAATCTGTTACTAAGGCTTATTTTAGTAAATCAAGGTTTTTTAAGTTAATCATGATGAATGTGTTGGTAGTAGATCAAGATTTATTGGAATAGGAATATTTTGGATATGAAGTGGTGTAGAAGGAGAGGAGTATGTGTGTGTGTGTGTATATATATATATATATATGTGTGTATATATATATATATATATATATATATATATATTACTAAGATTTAATGTGTTTAAAGTCAATATCAAATCTAGGTCAATAATAGTCAAGATAAAAAAAATTTCAAGAGATTTATCTGAAGTCCAACTTCCTGATCCTAATAAGTGGGGCATTTGCAAAATTTGAGGTCAGTTCTATGATAAGACTTTTTGAACTTACCTTAATCTCTGTATACACCCACCCACACTACATAGTTTAATAAATGAAATATATCATTATCACTATGAAGACGTTTCTCTTAATTTTAAGGTAAGAGTCTGGAATATTTAGCATCAGACTTGCATCTTGTTACACTTATACAAGTGTATACATTATGTTTATATTTTTCTTTCAACATTTTCAGAAAAAATAAAAGTATCTTAAAAAAAAAACTAAAATTTCTGATACTTTTTATTATCTTTGATTAAAATGTTTTTTAGAGAATTCTTAGCTTTTTACATTTCTATTTTTACTGTAATTATTTCATGTATGTTCCCACCAGATCTGGGATGGTCATCAATAGAAATTGAGTTTGACTGTAAGTCCCTTTGTTGATCCCAACACTAATGGGGTTTGAATGATTTCAACCTTTCATTGAATCTCCAGTTTCCCCAGTCTTACCTCATGTTTTTGACATAGTCCCAAAATAGGCTGATTCTTAGGGGCAAGATGCTAATCTTTATGTTCTAACAGCTCCCAGGTGAGGTGCTGGTATTTTCTTTCTACTTTTCCTTCTCCTCAGATGCACAAGGTATGTGATGGTCAAATGATAGCAACTCATCTCAAGTTCATTGACTTCAATACTGCTACTTGGAACTCCATTTCTTTTGCCCTGTTTGGTTACAGGATTCTAATGATCGGTGCTACTAATGTCATTATTTTGACAAAATGTTTAAGGAAAAATATTCCAGTAACTTCCAACATTTTAGTATCACAGATACACACTGAAAGTTATTTATCAATTGTCACTTGATTTAAATACATTTTCATTTTATTTCCTTTTTTTTTCATCTCTGTTCTTTAGGGAGATGTCTTTTCTTTTTTTATTTCATGCAAAAAGTTTACAATAGAAAATGCTTATTAATGTTAAAAGGAAATGTTTTCTTTCTAACAGCTTTACCTGTTTATATATGTCAATAATTCATTGTTATATATGCACTTACAAGCATGCACAGTAGTAGATCTGAATTATTCATTAAGTTATTTTTATATTTGAAGGAAGAAAAGAATATTTTTGTCAATAAAGTATAAAAAAAATTTCAATTTTGTTAATTTTCTTTATTTACATATATTTTACTTTTTATGACTTTTTACAAACTTATTTTTCTTACAATATTTGTTTTATACATTTTTCTGTTATTTTTCTATGATCAAATTTTTACATAATTTAAAAAAAATTGTTTTTACATTTTACATGAATTCTTTAGAGCAGTTTTATGTAAATGCAATCTGTTTAACTTGTTTGTTTTTTTTCATTAAATTTGATGAATGTATCACATGGGCAGTAAATTATCAATTGTAGAAAGATGCCATAAAGTAAAAAATAGCTTGGTGAGGGAAACTTATATTTTCAGACACTACATTGCATGCGTTCTTTTTCTTGAAATCAATGAATTAAAATGCAGAAGATCAGATCTGGATAGTCTATTTTTTTACCCTTACACAAAGGTGATTTATTTTGAAAACATTTTCTTATTCTACCTTCTTGGTCTCACTTTTTCTACTGACATGAATTGAAGTGATTAGAATCAATCAATTGCTAGGTGTGCTGTTGCTAGAAAATTTGGTTCACTGTGTTGTACCAGACAATTTTTCCCACCAGAATCCCACTTGCACATTAATGAATTTACCACTTATCTGTGCATTGAATATTGCTGTCATATCTGGTCTAGTACTTCTGCTGTATATCTTGAGATTCTTAACAAATTCCAAAGAAGAGTCTGAAATCTTATTGATCCTGATTTGGCATCTTGACTTCAGTCATGGCTTCCTTCTGGCAGTTATTCTAATAGGCTCTCCTCTTTGGTACCTCAACTACATGAATTTAAGCATTCTACTAGATTGGCAAATAGGTCTCAATGTTTTACTATTGAAATAGCTAGATGTAACCGTAAGTTCTATTCTGATAGTTTCTTTTCTTGCTCTTTTCACTTGTTGAACTCTATTCCAACTTTTTGCTTTCTTACCATCTACAATCTTCAAAAATTTAAATACAACTTCAGTTACTATTTTCTGTCTTACTTAATTCTGTTTCTTTCATTGTCTTTTCTCTTCATTAAAGTCTTTTCATTTTTCAAATTGTCAGTAATCCCCTTGCATCTTAGTGGCACTGTTGCCATGATTGGGGTGAAATGATTAAAAACATTTTTTATCAAAAGAGATTTTATTTTTTTTAATTAGGGTGTCATGTGACCAGTTGTAATTTCTGTCAGCTCTCACTGATTTTGGTTGCCTTGAACATTTTATAAATAAGTGTGCTGCTTCTGTGTATCATGTCTCTCCACAACTTTCTATCTTTTGTGACCCTGAGTAAATTTTGTCTTTACATTATCTCTCCCAATCTCTGTTCTACCAACCAATTGCACAAACTCATTAGGTAAGTTGCTTGATGCTTTCCTCTGTGGGTCTCTTGCCTTCAATGTGTCCAGTGAGTGTCAAATCCTCCAAACCCTCTATATAGTGGTTGATTGGGACAAATGGCAGCAAATCATCTTTAAGTTTATTGACTTCAACACTGTTATTTGGAACTCCATTTCTTTTGCTTTCTTTGGCTATAGGGTTCTAATGATTAGTGCTATTAATGTAATGTCATTATTTTGACAAAAAGTTTAATGAA